TGCTGTAACACCTTTAGAGGACAGCAGTGAGTGATGTTTGTTTATTTGAGTTCGAGTTGTGTCTGTCACCAGTTGGGAGCTTCTTAGTATCAATAGCTAGGAAACAAAATGTCTGCTGGGCCAATGTGGCCACTTTAGGCTTGTACATAGTTCCAAGCAATGAACGAAAAAGACACAGTTACTAGTATGGCAATCAATCATGCACTAAAATGTGTATGTGTAAAGTGTATGTATAGAGGAATTGAGAGAATTCTTCAGTGTTAGTGAAGTTTTTGGGTGCTTGGCATCAGGAGAGAGAGAGAGAGAGAGAGAGTGAGAGAGTCAGAGAAAGAGAGAGAGCACAACTGAAAGGCAGAAATGCGCCTCTTTGGGCTATAAATCTCTTTGATTCATAAAGAATCATACGCAACCACAATTTGGTTTTGTTCTGATTTTTAGGAAATGATTCATGAAATTTCAAAATTTGACATTATTTGATTTGATTATTTTGGTTAATTTTGAAATTCATTTTGAAAATACAACCCCATTCTAAAAAAATTGGAAACGGAATGCAATGATGTGCAAATCATTGAAAACATATATTTATTGAAAATGCTACAAAGACAACATATCAGATGTTGAAACTGAAATATTTGCCCATTTTCAATTTAATGCCAGCAACATGTTTCAAAAAAGCTGGGACAGGGACAACAAAAGACAAATTGTGTAATGCTAAAAAAAACACCTGGTGGAACATCTCACATCTAAATAGGTTAATTGGCAACGGATCAGTAACATGATTGGGTAAAAGAAGCGGCTGGGTCTTTCATAAGTAAAGATGGGGAGTGGTTCAGCACTCTGTGAAAGACTGCATAGCCAAATAATGCAACAATTCAAGAATGATGTTTCTCAAAGTAAAATAGCAAAGAACTTTGGAATTTATCATCTATGGTTCATAATACCAGTAAAAGATTCAGGAATCTGGAGAAATCTCTGTATGCAAGGGGCAAGGCTGAAAACCAATATTGGCTGGCCTTGATCTTCAGACCTCAGGCATTAAAATCCATTGTCTGTGAACACATTTCTTCCATGCATCCACAAATGCAAGTTAAAACTCTACCATGCAAAGAAGAAACCATATATAAACAGGATCCAGAAACGCCGCCGCCTTCTCTGGGCCCGAGCTCATTTAAGATGGACTGAGGCAAAGTGGAAAAGTGTCATGTGGTCTGACAAATCAAAATTTTAAATTCTTTCAGGAAATTTGCACCTCGTTGCACTCTGTTTTTATTTACATTTTACACAGCATCCCAGCTTTTTTGGGTAATAAGGTTGTACACTGACTATCTAAATGTGACTGAAGGAGCTGTTTGCACATTAGTGGAACATAAACACTAAAGCAATATGCCAGGCTTTTTTATTTTACATTTGAAAATAGTTAGAGAATGTTAAATTGGTCACAAACTGAGCTTTATTATTATATTATGCAGTTGTTATAGTGTAGTAATTAACACCACTGCTCTCTACATGGCATACTGGGGTTCATTTCCCCACGTGGACAAACCCATCATGCTAATGAGAGTCCTGCACAAGACCCCTAATGCTGCATTCACCTACCTGTGTAACATGATTCAAAATTGTAATTTGCTCTAGATGAGAGCGTCTGCCAAAAGTATAAATTTAAATATTCTAACTCTGCCTTGCTTGAAGCAGTTTTATCCCCTGGTGTAGAGTGGACTGTACTTAGATGTCACTGACTGACACACTTCAGGACTTTGCTGGGCTTTCTTTGGAGCAGTGTGCTCTCACTGTAGCATCAGAGAACTCGGCTCCAGAGAGAAAACTCCTCTACAGTTCAGACTGCCTCCAGTGTCCTTCCCACTGGAATTTTCAAGCGTATGTGAAACGAATTGCTCGGTGCTTGAGGGAACGGGAGGAGAAGAACAAAGAGAGAAAGAACTGAGAGGGTGAGAGAGTATACACTATACTACTGAAGAGTTGTAGGCAGCCCTTTTGATGTCTCTTTTGAGAGGTGTGTGTGTATATGTGTATGTGTGTAAGAAGCCGTGAGAGGCTCAGCAGGTGGTCTGAGAGGCTGGAGCTGTGCACAGAGGCAGACTGAGAGGTCGTCTGTCCTCTGCTTGGACACAGGAAGAAAGAGGCTGACCAGTTTAACCAACAAAAACCACATTTTGGATTTCTGTCATGGTTGGTGAATGTCACTATAATTAAGTCATTGCCGTAACTCCTCCAAGTAATGATTTAAAGGATCTTTTTTTTGGTTAACAGATTGTCTCTGTGGTCAAGAGCAAGAAGGAGAATGAATGAAAGAAAACGAGAGAGAGAGATTGTGATCTTCACTGATCTTTGTCATTTCTGTCCTTATTTTAATTGTTTTTTTCTTCTTACTTTTTACTGTTATTCTATTTCTGTCTCTTTCTCTCTCTGTCTCTCTCTCTCTGTCTCTCTCTCTCTCTCTCTCTCTCTGTCTCTCTCTCCCTCTCCCTGTTGGCTGCACACATTTTTGACCTAACACACAGAAAGTGAATAAATGATCCTAATGGTCCTGAAAAAGAGAGCATGGCTAATTGGTTGCCATGACAACAGACAAGCCTCTGCTTGCGGCTTGTTTCCGTGAGTTTGTCGTAGTTGTGTAAACACGTACTCCTCCTCTCCTTCACTCCTCACTCCTGCACTTCTCCACCCCTTTATCTATCTATGTGCTCTCTGCTCCTGGAGGACTGGCATTAGAGATCTGCAGCACTGAGTCACATTGCCTGTACATACAGACACACGCACACACTCTGGGCCTCTCAGACTTTCCATGGAAGAGCCCAGAGGAAATCGCTCATGGGGATTGCCCTGACTGCCTTACTTCATCAGGCCTCCACTCCTGCTGCAGCATCACATGCAGTAACAACACTGATGTCAGCATTTTTACTTTTATTTCAAAAAAGGAAAAGCAGGTTAACAGAGACTCCATCAGCTCTCCATTGCTCAGACTCTTCTAGAAGTGAGTACTAGTCTTTAGGAGCACCCTTCAATCACCTTTAGGACCACCTCATTTCTCATTTTAAGTAACAGGAACATTACACCCAGTCCAGTGTTAAGTGGGCCAGACTAAAAAAACACAGTTTAGTAGGCTATTAACTTATCATCAACTCCTCATAAATGTGTTTATGTAATAAACAAACCAATAAATGAATGAAGAATACCTACAAAACAGATGGTCAGAAGTTAGAGTTAGTCACCTAAAGTTAGTTGATGCAGAAGATATGTTACCTTTTACACAGTCTTTTAGCAAAGGAATGTATGCATTTGAGTGCTTTAATATTCATTTTCAAACAGAATGTTTAAATTGCAAATGTGAACATGACAATCCCGTTAAACCTGACTGACTTATTAAATTGTCAGCACTGTCAGCAGCTAAGCTAAGAAAAGCTAACTAAGCTGGCTAACTGATCTAAACATTAATTGTATTCATTTTTCATTAGCAAGTACTCTAACCCTGATCAAGTTCCACTTACCTTAGAGCTGCCTGTTATTAGTTTTGTCACTGAGTTTTTGAGCTTTACACACATATTAATCCAGAACTTTTTCAGCTTCAGGAATGAAATAAACACAGCACGATCCACCAAATGATCAGGATAGCATGTGTGAGGCATTATACATTCCTAGCATCTTGCCACCATTTCTTGGCCTAATAATTCTTAGGAACATCTATATTGAGGTCAGCTCAGCCTCTGCAGCGCCCCTTCTGGTTCAAATTTGTTATAGGTATGCGTGACTTAGATTAGTACTGGAGTACAAATCTATGGCACAATATGCAAATACGTCAACCAGTGTAACGCCCCCTAATGAGAACACCACCCTCACGCTGCGCTGATCGAATATGATTTTGAAATAAGAGAAGCAGACTGAGAGAACTCAGTCATGACTTAAGTGGTTGTCGCTCTCCTTCCTAATGTTGGTTAAGGTCAGCTGTGTGAGAAACTGCCACACAAATTGCATAAAGAGTCTGGAAAAATTGAGGCCAGTGCTTTTTTTCACCTTGTCATGATTGTTTAGACCAGTTGCAATAATGTTTATTTCTGCTAGCCTGCCAATGGGGTTTCAGTGTTATATTAGCACCAAGCTGGTACATTTTCACTTTGCCACACTGCGTTTAATATTACCCTACTTAAACACAAGCTGGGTTTGGATATCTGTATGCTCAGGTAAATGCTCCCGTTCCGTCCATCGCTCTCTGTTATTTGTATTTGTGTGTTGAGTCTACAAGAAGGATGTTTGGGTCACAGTGAAGTTAAGTTTACTTGCATTGCAAGTGGCCCAAGTGGCCCTCCTATTTTTGAGCATTTTTCAAAGTTGAAACTAGTTGGGTGTTATTACTCATTAAATCACTTATTATTCAGTTATTAAGCCTGAGACTTACACTATAACTACCATTAATTATTTAGTAACTATTATGCAGCTGACATGCAAGTGATGTAGTTTTGAGAGTGATGAATCAAAGTGTGGGCCCACAGGGTTTAAAGCGTTTAAAGGGTTAATCTCCTCACTGTGCTTTTCCTGCCTTAGTTCAGTCATTCAATTTGTATTTTATCTCTCTCTTTCTCCCTCTCTGTGTGTCTGCCTGTCTGTGTCATGCCATCCCCACTAAGCGTGCGTGCCACACTCCTCACTGCAGTGTGAAATACATATTTATCAAAAGTGCTCCGCTAACTAGGTCAATGAAACAAACCGCAGCCTGTAGCTATGGAGCTGAGGCAGTGTTACCAATACTGCACCCTGGTGGAGAACACATGGAAGTGCAACGAGGACATTTAAAACATTTAGCAGATGCTTTTATCCGCACTGACTTACAGCAATACTTTGTCAATGTATATATTCTTAAGGCTAGAATATAAAGATAGGCCTACCTTTGTTTGCTGGAAACAGGAGTCAGTTCTGATACTGAGATGCACAGAGAGCGCAGGGGTTTTCCTCCCTATACATGTAAGATTAGTGTTTATTACAATGCATTTTGCAAATGAGAGAAGAATTTCCCATTTCCACTATGTGGCCAGTTTGAATCATGCTAATTGTGGATGGAGGTTTTGTAAGCTGATCTTTAAACAGCTGTTAAGAATCTGGCCTCAGTAGCAAACCTAACCTAACCTTTTATCCTGGTTTATGATATTATCATGAAATTGTATTGAGTTAAGATAATACATGTGTAAACATGTAGCCTTCTGAAGGTTATTTTATAATAGCAATAATGTGTTTCGTGGTTATACATGTTGGGGATTTCTGTCTTTGACAATAACTTCCCTGATGGCACTTCAGGGGAAAAGGGGATTTTTTCAAAAAATTTGGTATATTTCCATCATTGAGAAGTAAACAAAGTTATTCAGAGTGGTTTGATGTGACATAGTTCATAAAAGAGAAATGTACCAATTTCTTTATAATGGAAGTGATAAGAACCAGGGGAGCATTTCACCTCAAACCACTTTGAGTCACTTTGTTTATATCTTAACCTTAATTTAAGTAATTTAATGGTGGAATTCCCTATTATTGGGCATCAAGGCTTTGGTTTCCCCTTCAATTTTAATTGTTTTCCCACCTGGTGGAACACGCTTGCTTCCCTAGATAGCATATCAAGTATAAAAGCAGAGCAGTGCAAGCATGAAGGTTCTCAGACTAGTGCTTTACAGCATTCTGTTACAGTGCATGTAGCCTTTCACAAGTCATTCTATAGGACATGATAAAGTCTTACAGTCATATGGTGCAACCTTTCTGACATACGTTGTCATTTCTAAACCATAAGTGATGGGCTAAACACGAAAACAGCTGTTTTGAACACCAAAACAGGTGTACTAACATTAAATAACGCGTGAGATCACAGTGCGACAGTGTGGTGGGAGCTTGTGAAGCCAGAACCACACGTGTTGAATATCGGCTCACCTTGTCATTGGAAATATCGGCACATTGTCTTTGCCTCTGTGCACTATACCGTACACTCAGAAGTCTGTTGAGATGCCTGAGAGAGAGTTGTGACCCCACCTGGATGCCTGTGAAGGTGTGTGCGAGTGTGTGTGCTCCACAGCTGTGTAGGTTTTATTGCACAGTGTGAGTGCTGAACCATGTATAAGGCAGGGAAAAAAATAACAAGACCCTGGAACATTTTCTCCCTGGAGTTTTCTGTGAGTGTGTGAGAGAGAGTATCTCTCTTTATCACTCTCTCTTTAAATCTCGCTTGCTCTCTTTATCCTCCGTGTCTCTGTCTCTCTCTCTCCCCACCTCCCTTTTGCTCAGTGTACACACTTACACTCTATCTATCTCACTCACTCTCTCTCCCCACCCTCAGTCGTCTATCTGTGAGTGTCCTCCTCCCTCTCTCCTGTCTCTCCTCCCTCCTTCCCTCCCTCCCTCTCTCTCACTCTCTCTCTTGCTCTCTCTCTCTCTCTCTCCTCGTGAGTGGAGTCTGGGCATGGTGCCAGCTGGCGTGTATGTTTTTTGAATGAATACCTGATGAAGTTGGTGGAGGGCAGTGAGGCGAGGCATGGGAGGAGCCGAGAGAGAGAGCGAGCGAGCGAGCGAGTGAGTGAGTGTGTGTGCGAGCGAGTGAGAACGTGTGTGTGTGTGAGTGCGAGTGAGGGCCTTGCATAACACACGTTGGAGTGCTGCATGCAGGCGGTCAGGCGGGCAGCGGGCGGTCAGGGCTCCGGCTCTGGGCAGCCTGTGTGTGACACTCAGGCACACTGGACGCAGCACGGTCCAGCTGTGGAGTCCCACACACTGCTCTCATCCACGGCAGGGAGGGGAGAGAGACATATCCAGAGTGCGAGAGAGAGAGAGAGAGAGAGAAAAGAAGGGAAAACAGCCAGCCAGTAGCCAGTAGGGCAGAAGAGTTGGTTTAAAAGATTTCACTGCCCTTCTGGACACCAATAAGGGAAAGCATCAAGGACCTGCAGTCTTTCTAGACATTGCGGTAAGTCTTCGCATACTTCTCCCAGCTTTCCCTGCTGTGGGCTTCTCTCCTGTTGCTCGTCAGCAGCCCTTCGGCGGCTCTTACTGGACTGTCCGCCCCCTTCTGCAGCTCTGCTGGCTTCCACTTACTCTTTAAGGCTATTTTTTCTTAACCTGCTGTGAGACTTTTCCTTTCCGGCAGGGAGGGAAAGTGCAAGTCATGCAGCCTCTCTGAAACCCTCCTTTCTCTCTCTCTCACTCTTTCTATCTCTCTCTGTCTCCCTCTCCAGAGCACTCTTCTAATTCTCTCCTTCTCGCTTTCTCACTTTCTCTCTCTGTCCTCTACTGCTTGTCGCTCCTTGCCTGCTTCTGCAGTGAGGTACGTTTTGTGGGGAACTGGCACTCGAAGCGATCAGGAAGCCAGGGAGAGCAGTAATTGTACTCTAAGTCCATGCCCACCTCTTAAAGGGACAGCAGCGTGTTTTAACAGCGGCCATGCAGCTACAGCTTGGTAGCTGTTGAACGCTGCGATTGCATTACTTTCAGATGAGAAAATGGATATGTGTGTCAGAAGGTTGCACCATATGACTGTAAGGCTCTATTCTGTCCTTTGTTGTTGAAAAAAGGTTTTAGGAACTTCATTAAAATTCTGTCAAGCACTAGTTTTAATGATATAATAATGTGTTAAAGTTACATTTTATTATACATACATTTTCTCCACCAATCATCTCCAAAAGTTTTTTAATAAATGGCAGTGATTCCCGGCTGCTGCTCTAACTCAAGGACCTTGGGCTGTAATTTTTAGGCCTGATGGAGGACAATACGTTTAGATTTCGTGTCATCTGATACTGACCACGCTTTGTTGAGCATGTGTACTCAGCAAGATCCAGCTTACGCACTTCTCTCCCCCACAACTCTCTCTCACTGTGCTATTAACTTACAGTACCCTAGCAATATCAGTGCAGTACTTTTGGGGGATGGGGGTGTACTTTTGGAGTATGCGCACGCATGATACAAACCCCTTTCCCACTCGTCTTTTGCAGTGTGCCCTTGTTTCATGTGCGAGTGTGTGTGCTGAGTGGTGTTCCCTCTAATGTAGGTCAGTAGAGGCTGCTCTGCTCCTTCCCTCCCAGTTCCAGTGCAGTGTGAGTGTGTGTGTGTGTGTGCTGAGCTGTGCTGTCTCTATGCTGGGAGAGCAGACTGAGCCGTGATTCGAGCCTTTCTCTTAATCCGGAGGGATAAAGCAGGGAGGCCGCAACAGTGGAAGATTAGGAGCTGGCTTTCCCCGGGATACCGCTGGGATGGAGGAACAGACTGAGGCGCGTTTATGATCCTGCATGTGTTTATGTGTGCATGTGCAAAATACCAGTTATTGGCAGCAGCTTCATTATTAATCCTCACAGGCCTCTGGCACTTTCAGACGTTCATTAAAAAATAGTGTAGGCTGTAGTCCGTTCAGTAGAACATGCTCTTTCGCTTTTTTCAGTCCCTCCCCCTCTGCTGTCCTCCCAGCACTCCAAAAGTAAAAGCTCCAGGGAACCGTTTTAGAGCGCTTCATCTCGTCCCTGTAGATGAATGCACTTAGCCGTTTGATAAAGTCCTTTCACAGAGGTTCTGTACAGGGCAACGGGGCATGGCCCTACAGTTCAATGAATGGTTCTCTAACCATGACCCAAAAGAGGCAAGAGTAATTGCTTTTCTTTTTTAACACGGCTTGGAGAAACGTCTTAATCAAGGGGACAGTTACAGAATGCAGGACCACTAGTCTTGCGGCGTCAGACGTGACCTCTGGGGGCAACCATGAGAAATTCTGGGAAAGTGTGGGTGGGAACGTAGACTTCTTAGGCTGGAAAAAGCCTAAGTTTTAAACCGATCCAATGCTTTAAGGAGGCGGAGCTTAAGTGGCCCATATCATGGAAAACAGAATTTCCCTGTTTTTTTAATAAAAGAGTTTGACATATGTAATATGTAAACAGTGTTAAAGTTTCAAACCATACCATTCACTCCCTAGTCCATACAGTCCATATATGGAAACTTAGCTGCAAAAAACAGCCCATTGTGAATTGATTGTTTTTATGAATTCACAAAAACCAACTCATCTGTCCAACAGCAGGTTAGCTCTGCCCGTTCACACTGAAAGTCTAAGGAATGTGTCACCTCTGAGTGCTTTTTGGATGAGCCTTAATACACAGGACAGCCAGTCAGAGCAGAAATCATTCATCTTATATCAGTCTTAAACGCAGAGTAACAAAAACAGCGTGTTTAATACTAAGGGATAAAGAGAGATTGGAAAATGGTCATGTAAAAATTAATTATGACGTTTTTGGTACATAAAACCACACAAAGGTTGCAAGTGGATCTCAAGGGAAAAAATAAAATGCAAGAAAAATGCTGGATTCAGGCCCTTTAAAGAAAGATTTTGCGCTCATCCACATTGTCTGATGGACAACAAGCCTGCTGTTAGGCCATGGATGTAATGTAAGTTAATTTGGCAAAAAAATCCCCCTAGAAACCTCCAGTTAAGCATGTAGATGAGCGTTGCTTGTGTGGAGAACACATTACGTGCAGTAAAAATAAATATTACCTGTTACAATCGAAAACTGTTTCATTAGCTATTTATAGCTTTTCGCTAGCTAGCTTGTTTTACTTAGACTACAGGAATTTGGGGACAGATTTTAGAGGGGGTGATTTTGCCGCAGTCCAACACCAAAAGTTTAACAAGTTGTATCTAGGTGTGTATTCTGGTTAAGAGATCCCGTCTGGCCATGCAAGGCTAGAATATGTGGTTCTCTGACCTTATCACCCTTTCTTCTCTGCTTACCATGAAGGCATTATTTGGTTATAAATAGAGATAGCACAATGCCACTTATTCTTTTCTGATACTGATATTGAAACCTCGAGTACTGGCCGATACCAATCTAACATTTTTCCTTAGAATCTACGATCCTTCAAAATTAGCAATTTAATAGCTCTTCACTTAAGATAACCTTCTAAAAAGAGACTCACACGACTCAAAAAGAAGGTCTGGCTCGATGTTTAGGTCTCAAATGCAAAATCAACATTATGCTGAAGAAGATATGATGACAATAGCAGATAACTTACTTACATCCTCGGAAGACACGTCCTTTACCAAGTTTTGACCAAGCTCTCTTTGACTACACTTTCTATGTGCTTGCAATCATCAGATTCATCCGCTCGGGAAAGAGTCTGAAGTGCAACTGATATTACAAAATTTGCTTTCACATGTTGCATACAATTACACATTTCCACCAGAGAGGTCTCCAAATCCCCAAAACTTACACAGTGTAGCTTTAAAGAACCATATTAAGGTTTTCATGTTTAGATTGTTGTATCAAGAACTGTTGTGATCGAGAAGATTACGCTCTAATTTTACCTGATGGAAAATTTAGGAAAGCTGAGCATTTTGTGGTGTCTTGCTCATAAACCAATCTTTAATGAAACAGCAAAGCCTATAGTCACACCCTCTTTGCAAATCCCTCTCTTCTTTTCACCTCTTATCTGTCTCTCTTTCCTGTCTTTCACTTTCAAGTGTCATTTATCTTTAGTGCTTTACACGTAGTTCTAAAGGTAAGCATAGAGTAGCTGTTAGAGTGGTTCTCAGTCCTAGAGCTGCACTTCATCACACAGTTTCCTCACTCTAATACATCTGATTTAGCTCATCTGCTAATTACTAGCCTTTCGTGAGCTAAATTTGATGTGTGGGTGGAGGAACATCTCTAAACTGTGCTGTGTAGAGTGTCACTGGTTCTAGGGTTGAGAACTACTGGCTGAATGATATTATGCTTAACCAAAAGGCTGCTGCTTGTCAGTAATTCTAAATCACACAAACATGAATTTCTTTATATATTTCTGACTTTCTTAGATCAAGGCTCTTAAAGAACGATTGCATCTTGTATAACCAACTTCAGATCAAATATTTCAGGTTTTCCACTGCAATATGTTACTGTACCAACAAAAGGCTATTGTCATCTAAAGGAACTGACACCGTATGAACATGATTATGGTAATTTATTCATTAGCATGCTCGACTGCCTTTTTCTGATGCACACAGCTCTGCTGAAAAAAAGCTTGAGGAGAGGATGATCTGGACACCATGGAGAAGGACAAGAGAGGGACTACCTTTTTACAATGAAGCCTTTTGGTCAGAGATCTTTTCTCTGTCGTCGACACTTTTTCCATAATTCCTTTCACTTAAGGAACAATGTAACAGGTCCACTTGGAACGCTTTAAGTTTTCCGTTTCCTCAAAGCTCCTTAAAATTAGAACTTCTTTCCTAGTATTTTATCAATTTATTTGTTATAGTGGCTGCACTTCATTATACGGTCATATGCAAAACCCTTTTTGTTAACTTGTGTTTATTTACTAAGTTTAATATATTGTAAAAAAGATGCATCAAAATAAAATGTTTACTAAAACACTAATTGCGCATTAAAAAGTGTAGATATGTGTTCTCTGTAGAGGATGTGCACTTACTTTCACTTCAACTTATTTAAAATCAACAAAACATCATTTTGAATATGTATTTATTTTATTTTATTTTATGAAATATGCATGACTGTTTCTCTGAACTCCCAGCTTCACATTTAGAGTAAATGCGGTCTGTCTGCTGGAAATTTTTATGTTAGCTAATGAATGAATCATAGCCTTCCTTTAAGTGCAAGTAAATCATTTACAGCTGAAAATGTCGTCCTGCAGGAGAGAATTTAGAAAAATTATGCTGGATAACATCCTGCAAAATATTTTCAGTATTACCACGTCTCAAGTTCACCGCACGATTGTATCATATCCGTAGTGCTGAGTTTTGTCTAAGCCATGATTTCTTTCCTTCCTTGACAGCCTTTCTTCGTTTGCTATGAAGGGAAATACTCGTCTGAATCTATACGATGCATCTGTGCCTTTTTGAGCCTAACGTTGTACATGTGTGAGAAGACAGTTCATTTCAGATTTTGAAAGACGGAGTTAGCATGACTTTGGGTGTCTGGTTCGCCGGAGGTCTCTTATGTTCGAAAAGTTTGGTTCAGATGAATAAATCATGAGCAAAGCGAGCCGACCAGGAGTGATAAAGACAGAAGAGGACTGTGAAGTCTGTGATGAGTGAGGATCATTGAGCCTGCATGAAGAGGACGGGTACTTCCTCTCTACAGGCTATGGGACAGCGCACATAAGATGAAGAGAACAGTTAAACAGGCATCAGCATAATGAGCGCATTGTATCTCTCCAGCAGTGCTCCCAGACTCTTATTGCAGTGTGACACCTCTTAAATCATCAAGTCCCTGTTTGAAATGCAAAAGAGCCCTCCTACGAGTATTGGACAGAGCAGACAGAGCCGGGGGTGAGGGGGGGGTGCGATCAATGCAACTCAGGCAGGACCCTCAAACAAACACTAAAGCCAAAAGATCATACACTGCTCATGTGATTAGTTGACATGTTGTGCAGTGCATGAGCACTTTAGACTTTTCTCACCATCGAATAAGTAGTAAGATTTTTGGTTTTGGATGTGAATTGATGGAGAGATTATGAATTTTTGTGGCAGGTTCTGATTTCTTTACAGCCAAACTGGCCTATAGCAAGTTTTTATTAGCTTACTCGGTAGAGGCCGAACTAACACATGAAACACATTTGTATTACTTTCTAAAGGCCAAAGTCACGATATAAATCCAGTTTTGAACAGCCTTGGTCAAATGACATATTTTGTTGATTTTCTAACTGAAAATAAGTTAACGCATTCTCTACAGAGAGCACACTTAAAAATGGCACACAGGTTCTATTTTTATACTGAGTTTAACATATTGGAAAAAATATGTATATAAAATATGCCATAACTTTTGCACTGGGAGTTATTAATTTTTTGCCAGTATGTTAAATTCAGCAAATAAACAGTAATTGTGCATTTAAATGTGCAGAATTATGTGCAAAGGATGTATACATGTTTTCACAACACATATAATTTGATCAGGCCTGCCCAAACCTTTGCAGATGACTGTATCATTATTTGCTACTTATAACTATAAATGATAAATCAGTTGGCTATTTAAAAAACATGAATCAAATAAAGTGCTACACTGAAAGAAAGGCTACTGTTTATTTAGCTCCATCAGTCATGCATAATTATGCCAGGACATTATGGTATAGCTATAACAGCACTTACCCACTCACATGATTTACATCACAAAAATGCAACACTGATCTGCTGAAATCAAAAGAATAATTGGCCAAATGCTGATTGCATGTTTGGAGCAAACATCTGCCGATTCTGGCCGCACACATCTGGAATCAGTACATGATGTATGTGTCTTCATGTGCATCCATTAGTATTTATAAATAGTGGATATAGTGCCCCACACTGGTGCATATCTATGTGTGTGTGTGTGTGTATGTATGAGTGAATGAGAGAATGTGTGACTGTTTAAAGTAGGGTCTTTTACTGGTTTCAAATCAGTCTTGAGTGCAGAGCTGCCAGTTTATTATTAATGATGCTCACACTGAGTGTTCCATCTCTCCCTGCAGGGGGTCCACTCTCACACTTCACACACACAGTGTGTGCAGATGGTGGAGATATATCGCTGCTCACACACACAGGCATCCCTACACATCTACACCTCAACAAAACGTCTGCTCAAACACCCTGCTAGTCTCAAACCATACTGTGTAGATTCCTTTGCTTTTTATCCTTACAAATGTAGAGCTGTTATAGTCAAATAGTCAGTTTGGTAGAATATTGAAATATAATTCTATAGTTACAAAATAGTTATATAGTTCTGCATAATAATGTACATTTACATGCTGTGTTAAAGAGGCAGTCTGGCCTATGTATGTATGCATGTAGTCTATGTATGTATGCATGCCTACTCTCCTGCTTCGTGGGTGGAACTTAAAAAAAAATAAAGAAAAGAAAAAGAAAAACTATAAGAGGTATAGGGCAGATATATGTGATGTTTAAAATGTTTAGCACCCCCCATCCTAATGCAGAAGGATTCCAGACAGTTAATGTTACTGCTAGGAAGATAAACATCACATCTGTATTTATTAGCCTCTACATGCGTGAATTTCTGTATCTCCATGGGAGGAATTCACAGTAGTTGAGACGGATTTGCGTAACAACAATAACTGTAACTTCTAAGGACTATAGCATACAGTGCAGCTTCACTTGCTTCAGTGTATTTAATGCCCTTTCTGACACGTTTTTTGATCCTGAGTAATGTGTGTGTGCACTCTGCAGGTTTCTGCTGCAGTCCTGGAGCCTTGCTTTCAGAGGGACATGATTCCGCATGAACCACGAGCACAGCTCTTTTGTGGCAGGCGTGCGTTCTGTTGCTTTCGACTGAGATCTGTGTCCATCCGGCCCTAAACAGAGGAGAAAAGCTCCTTTCGCCGCCACTCTTCTCTCTACCCCCATCCCAATCCCCTCCAACAGCACCGGCCGACCGGTGGGTGGGCACGCTGTGTCAGAGAGACATACAGAGAGAACAAGAGAGAGGGACAGAGGGAAAGGTCGAGAGAGAGAGATAAACAGGTAGAAACAACCAGAGAGTCCAGCAGCCACATACACCATGAAGCCCACCCAGGAGCGGAGCAACGAGTGCCTGCCCCCTAAAAAGCGTGAGATCCCAGCCAGCACCCTGCCCTCGGATGAGAGGCCTGTGATGATGGCGCCAGCCAGCGAAAGCCAGCGGACAGGGAACTTGGCCTGGCTGGCCAGTGTTGCCAGTGGGCAGGAGAGTGGTGGTCAGCGCACTGGAATGGCAGTGGGGTCCAACAGCCCTCAGTACAAACCGCTGGTTGAATACTCACCTCCATGCTCCACACAGTCCACCCGCAGTGCGACCGCAGTGACCAGCGTCCCGGCTGTGTACACGTCCCCTATCTCTCAGCATGGAGGCACCATCCAGTACACACCCTTACCCCCGAACCTGCACTTCATTAGCCCCTCTTATGCTGCACCATATACAGGCTACATCTCTCCACTCGTACACCCTCCTCCAGCTTCCACCACCATCGCCACTTCCCAGAGACACACTGAAGCCTACGCCAGCGCCACCAACTCTCCTTCGTCAAAATCTGAGCAGCACCACCCCCTGGGCCGCTCTCTCGGCCCACCTATGTCGGACAGCACCCTCTCGCCACACTCGACCCAGTACGTCCAAATCTCTGCCCCTCGGACTGCCCCTTCACCCCATGCCCACCTCCCTCTGCACCTGCACCCTCAACACACGCTGGCCCTCAGTGGGCCCCCTCAGGTCCTGCTGCAGTACACCGATGCACCTGCGCCCAAGAAGGAGGAGGCCAGGCCCAGAGAGGTGCTGAACGGGGAGCTGGAAAAGGTCCAGCGCTTCAGCTTGTCAGAATCCAGTGCAGGAAAGCAGAGCAAAGGGTCCTTGTCCAGCCAGCAGCACCATATCCACCAGCAGCAGCACTATGAGGCCAGGCACGTGGTGCTGCCTGCCGAGTATGCACAGGACATACGGACCTCACTAGTGCTAGTGCCCAACAGTCACAACTCCAGCAGCACTGATCCAGGGGGCACTTTAGATAAGCTGCCTCCTCCCTCTATGCCAGAAAAAGGAGGGATTTGTGCAGGAAAGCCCATAACTCGTACTCCCTCTAGCTCCTCGTCCACCTCCCATCCATTTCCACCCCCACCTTTGCCTGTGGACGGTCTAAAGACGGCAGTTACCACGTTATCCCCTCATACAGTGATCCAGACCACACACAATGCGACCGAGCCGCTGTCCATGGGCCTCACTTCCACGAACTTCTATCCTGCTCATCAGCCCATTATTGGTTACATTGCAGGCACGGGTCAGCAACAGCCTCTCGGCTACCACACCAGCCTGCCTCAACACCTGGTCATCCCTGGGGCTCAGCCGGTCATTATCCCTGTAAGTGGTGCAGAGCCAACTGCCACATCCGCAGCCACAGCCTTTCCCGCAGCACTACCCCATGCGTTTGTCACCTCAGCAGCCCCCAAAGGTGAAGCCTTCGAATCCCTGGCCCCCTACCCCCACCCAGCGGGGGCCATGGTTCAGGCCCAGCTCCACCTGCCCATGGTCCCAGCCCCTGCCAGCCTACTGGCCACTCCGCCTCCACCTTCAGCCCCATCGCTGCCCCCTTACTTCACAAAGGGCTCCATTATCCAGCTTGCAGACGGCGAGCTGAAGCGAGTGGAGGACCTGAAGACGGAAGACTTCATCCAGAGCGCCGAAATCAGCAGTGAGCTGAAGATCGACTCCAGCACTGTAGAGCGCATTGACAGCAGCCATACGCCTAACTTTGCCATCATCCAGTTTGCAGTGGGAGAGCATCGCTCGCAGGTGGGATGTTCAGTGCTGTCTTTACAGACCTTTTTTAATTCTTTATTGTTATGAAAAATAACAACTGATAACCGAGTGTAATAATCAGAACAAATTGCTCTTAAATCAGTTTGCGCTACATTTTTCCAGAAAACATTAGTCATAGTTCATTGGAAACAGCTTGGTTTTCCCCTCAATCAAGATAAGACACTTGGAATATGTTGCTGGAACAGTGATGTTTCCAAGTGATTTTAAATGGGAAATAATGTTTTTATGCTTTAACAAATTATTAGTATTCAAGGTACAGTATATGTCCAAAAGTGTCCAGACACCCCTTCTTAGTAGTAAAATCAGCTAGTTTAAGATACATCCGGGTGGACACAGGTGTTCAGTGTTGCACACGCAACTTATTATAACATATAATCTCCATAGAAACAAACTTGAGCTAGAAAGAATTAGTTATTACATTAACTTACATTATCAGACAGGAAAGTTTTTCCTTCTCCTGTAAAGTTATTATTTTGGAGATATAAGAATTTGTTCCACTGTAGCTGTCAGAGCAAAACCTCCAAAAATAATCTCCAATTTCGTTTTTCATTTTTTTTACATGATTTGAAAACACCAGCTGCCCTTTTTTGCCAAAATCTCATGATGTATTGACCAAAAGGAATGGCCTTAAATATCTTGGACAGAATCCCAGTGCATTAACTTCTATTAAAAATTTGGAAAGTTGTTTTCTTCTTCTGTAAAGTTACCATGTTATGGTTACTTTCAGAATTTTTCTTGTTTTGGTGATATAGGTTGTTGTGAGTGGGCTTAACACATACAATACATATCAATGCTATATTATTATTAATACCATCTTTATTAGAGAAATAACTGTTTTCAGTCAACATCAACTGTTATTCCTTTAAAAAATATTTACATTCAAAAGTGTTACAAACGGATATAGAGCATTTTGGAATTAAACCCTTCATATGTAAACTGAATTTTATTGATTTGCATTTTTCAACCCAGCTCTCAGGGCCTACCAGACTGTCCATGTCTTTGCTTTAACTGAGCTCCTAGTACACTTGTGCCAGGTGTTGTTAATGGGTTGATTCATTGAGCTGGGTAGCTTAAAAATGTGGGCCATCTGGAGGATGGGCTGGACTGGACTGAAAAGTAACACTTTAGGTTATTTTTTCCACCATATCAGAGTTTGGTCAAGTGTATGGTGCTGATTCTGATGATCATGCGTTGGAGGTGTGAACGTTTTCTGCTGCCAGTTTACCAGTTCTCTTACATCTTTGCTGGAGTAAGGAAGTGTTCTGGATGTCTGCTTTATTGGTCCCCTGCTTTTGCCACAGTCATTCTTCCGCCCGTTACCGTATGCTGCCCTTGTTTGGTGCTGTTTGTGTAGGATTCGAAGGCAGAACTGAGTCATTCCCTTAGTTCAGCTCCCTTCTGTTCTGAAGTGAGGGGGCTGTGTGAAAAATCTGTTTCATTTATCTGTGAATTGAGATTGGGCCGCCTACTCAAGCTGAAAGTCTGTCACACACGCTCAGCAGCGAGACTCATGCCTGAATGTGACATCTTTTTTATCAAAGCAGTTCATTCACCTCATCATACGTTGTTTAAATAACTTGTTTTGCTCTCTGTGTTCTTTTTTCAATTCTTTCTCAGGTCAGTGTGGAGGTGCTCGTGGAGTACCCCTTCTTTGTTTTCGGTCAGGGCTGGTCGTCCTGTTGTCCGGACCGGACCACCCAGCTGCTGGAGCTGCCCTGCGCCAAACTGTCAGTGGGCGACGTCTGCATCTCACTGACTCTCAAGAACCTGAAGAACGGCTCACTGAAGAAGAGTCAGGGTCAGATCCCGGACGTGGCGGGCCTCGGGCCGCCCCTCAAACCGCCCAAAGCACCCTCGGGTGGGACGCGAGGTGGAACACGGCACAAGGAGCAGGAGAATGGACTGAGGCAGTGCGGCAGTCAGGGAGGGCCAGGTAATCAGGCCAGCGCGGAGAACGGAGAACTGAGGTTTGGGGAGAGGGGAGCCTGCAAAGCCTCACAGTCCTCAGAGGCAGAGTCCATCAGCAAACCCCCAGGCCGCAAGCGGAGGTGGTCGGCCCCCGAGGGCCGCAAAGTGGAGAAGCCGGAGGAGGAGCCCCCTTTGACTCTTCCCAAGCCTTCTTTCATCCCTCAGGAGGTTAAAATCAGCATTGAAGGCAGATCAAATATTGGCAAGTGAAAAGCCCATCGGACTGTCAGATTGTGGTTTTGAATTGAATGGAAAAAAATTTACCCTCACAATGTTCTTCTCACTTTCATTTTGATCTTTGAATATTGTTTTTTTTATAATTTCAGTTTTAAATTCTCTAATTTTGTTTTGTTTTTTTTCTATCCAGATTACTGTACCGTAGGCTAAATTAACTCAGTATAGGCCGATACCTACCACCTTATGTGTAGTAATAACATTTTAGTAGGTGCATTGAATATATACAGGCAATTGGTGCAATTTTCTCTCTTTTTTTTTTGTCTGGGCAAATCTGGGGCAGGTATAGTGCAAGGTGAGGAGGGTTTATATAGGACACCTGAGCACTGCATGATGCCCTCCAGGGTACAAAATATCTTACAACCTTTTCAGCCCTACATCTGTCTAACTTTTTTTTGTCCTGTCATAACACGAGGGGGATGATTTGAAGGGCGCCCACTGAAGTAGCACTAAAAGGGATGCCTTGGCGCACGTAGTGCATTAGTCCCGGCTCCATCCATATTTGAGCATAAGAGAGAGGATGGAGGTTTGGTGTGGATGACATTGCTCAGGGAGGCAGGACGGAAATCACTCCTTCACTGGCTGCAGGAGATTACATGATGTCAGCCATCCTGCTCAAGCAGTCTCATCTGAGATTTAGGCGTAAAAAAAGACAATCCGAAGACCGTTGCAAAGAGATCTGAGGGACATCGTAAGAGATGTCGGTTCAGCATAGATCGCGTTAGCTTTTATTCTGAGTAATAGACGGGCACCTGAATACTAAGGTACATACCAGGCCGGGTGCTGTAACACAATCAGAGTCAGAGAAGTTGAGAAGTGAGACGTGTCATCAAGCAGTGCCAGTTGCTCCTTAGGAAAAGAGGGAACTATGTTAATAGGCTCAGAGACGGCTTTTATATATTCAACTGTCGAACCATTTTATTTTATTCTTTTGTAGTTTTGCTTATTATTTTCTTAAACCCTCCTATCTGACCTGATGGGTAGATTTTTTTTTGCAATGAATGTGTAAACCTTGCAATCAGGGGTCACTTTCAGTCATGTAGACACAGCATGAGTTCTTGTCTATGTATACGTGTGAGGACGTGTCTCTAAAGGTTGAGGTATATGTAGAGGGGTAAAGAGACGACTCGTTTGGTGCAAACTTACCAGTTATTTTTCACTGTAATGAAAGAAAGCTGGTTATTTGAGAGAAAGTGAGAGAAAGTCGCTGGAGAAGGGAGGGACAGGTGGACGAAGCACTTTACGCACCTGTCACACTCACTAGCAGATAGTTATTTTAATCAATTTAGTCCTTATTATTATTAATGTTATTATTATTATTTCCTCTTATTATTATTATTATTATTATTATTATTATTATTTGATCTCTGAACATGAACACAGTACTGTACAGTATGTTGTATTTGACTGGCGGGGGAGTATAGCGCTCTGTGGAAAAGTGGAGGGCTTACAGGTGCCCCTCGATCTGTGAATAGAATGAATGTGAATGGTGAAGACGGACGAGAGCAGAAAGCCGAAAGGCAGAGAGATAGAGAAGCACTTTGCTGCTCTGGTCTGTACAGCTCCTCTTAAAAGAGAATTCCACCAGTTTTTTTTAATTTATGCATAATTCAATCATTGAGTTGTAAGAACTTGTTCACTGTTTTGATATGAAAGGGTTCATTGTAAAGGAACTCAGATTTCTTCACAGTGATGGTGATTGGATGTCTACAACAACCAAAATGTATGTACTATCCAAAATAACTAGTGAACCAACAGAGTTTTTATATGAAATATTGATGATGATAAAATAGTAGTAAATCTTTGGTAGTATTTTGCCTTACAAAATCCTGCACATACGTTTGAAAGCATTAAAAATAATGGCACTTAAACCCCCTCACCAACACTGTGAACAATTCTGCGTAGGTTTTCTAGAACAGAGCATTTCACATCATAACTTTGTGTACATTTTAATGCTTCAGTTATGCATAAATATGAAAAATCGATGAGGTTCTCCTTTAACAGTGAGCTAGAAAGGCGTCCGAACTCTTCAATAAAGTGTAGCATGGGCACGGCCCATGAAGCGACTGCCATTGTAATCATCGTAATGAAAGTGTATGAGTGTGATCGCAGGCAGGAGTAGGGCTTCAGAGGTAATGAGACTGTCCAAATATGCCATGAGGAGAGAGAGAGAAAGTGCATGTGAGAAACTCTGGACACAGAAATTTTAGTGGGGTTTAAGGGTGTCCTGTACACGTTTGTTTATAATGTACGCATGTGGATGTGCATGCACACACACACGCGCACAAGCACACATTTACTTCTCGGTTACGTGTCTTTATATGTCTTTTTTGTACATTACCATGTATAGAAATGCATATACTGTATCTGAATCACTGTATGCAGTCCATCTCCCAAGACACTGAAGGGACACCTTAGTGTGAAATCACAAAGCATGTAGTACTTTCAGTGGTCTGGAGTGTGTGCGTGTGTGTGCGTGTATGTGTATGTGTGTGTATATGTACATTCTGTGTGTGTGAGAGAGAGAGTGGTATATGTGTTTGTGTGTTTGTGTATGTATATATAATATCACACATATTATATATATAGAAATATTGGTAACACTTTACTGAAGAGCAGCATTCAACGCTACAAGACACCTACATAAGACTTTCATGACAACTGATGTAAACCTGTATATAAAGGCTTATTCCAACCATTTGTCATAACACTTACTGAGGACAATGAAATTGACAAAGCATTCTTTGGATGTTGGAATAAGCCTTCATAAATGTTTCTGAAGCTTTATGTCAGGCTTATGTAAGATTCAAGTAGTCTTATGAACGCTGCCCTTCAATAAAGTGTTCCCAAAATATTTGTCCAGTGTTTCTGTTTAAAGTTCTACTTAAGAGAATCTTGCAGTTTGCACATCTGGAGAGGTAGTAACATGACTTTTTATTATTTTGTTTTCAGCCATGGCTGAAAACCCACTTTTACTGAAATGTAGCAGTTACTTAACAAGTTCGCTCGGCTTGCTGGTCTGACGTGGCCTCCTTTTTTACTCCTTTGCTTACTTAACTCACACACGTTTTCAGACGCTTATGAGGACTGTCTAATACACATACACAGAAACGCACTCAAAGCAGGTAGTGAGGAGGAGCCACGGCCTAAAGCCCGCACACTTGTTGAGCTCTCTGATTGATGGCTTTGTTCAGGTGTATTTGAATAGGTGACCTGGCCAGGGTGGGCGATGGTGATGATGATGGATGCTTGGATGGATGTATGGATGGATGGATAATTGGATGGATGTATGCTTGGATGGCCTGATGGATGGTGGTGGGTGGGTGAATGCACCCCATATTCAATTTGAAAATGCTTTATTTTTTTATAATAAAACAGGGTTTCTCAGATCAACATCACAACCGTGCATTTTTTTCTTTTTTTTTTTAAATCATTTCGACATTTCACTTCATACCCTCTCTTTGAAGAGTGTGTATGTGTGTGCGTTGAATGCAAATGTTTAGGTAGGGTATCTTGAGAAAGCAACGGCTTCGAAAAAGCAGATATGATTATGAACTGTTAGCTTTGGGCCAAAAGGTAGAATTTTATTTTTAGTTTTGTTTTTTCATTTTATTTAAGCATTAGTTCAGCCGCATCTCATCTATTGCCATGCCTTTTCATTCTCTGTGTTTAACTTTGATTTCTGTCATGCTGTTTCTGTGCTATTCTGGTTTTTCATCAAATGGCTTCTCTCTTTCTGCTTGCATAGGTTCGCTATAGGTATACACAAGAAGCATTCCAAATAATGACACAGCAATAACCCTAGTCTCCAGTATTCAAACCAAAAAGGAAAACAGATTATTTATGGCGGAAGCCCAGTTGTTGCTCCACTATCTAGGCTAACAGTCTGGCGTTCTCCTCCTCGTCGCAGTTTGCACGGCCAGCCCGTTGTATCTTCAGGGAGAAATGTAAAGCGTATATGCAGTGACAGCATCTGTCCCTCTAAACCCAGCTCAACCCTCTCCTGCTAGTGACCTCTAGACCCTGTTCAGGTACACTCATGCAAAACCAGTAACGCCTCGCACCTGTTTACCTGCCACAACCGCCAGCTACCTTTAATGGCTTGGCCTGTATGTGCAACTGCAAACCCCAGCACATTATCTTTATCTCTCTCTCTCTTTCTCTCTCTCTCTTTCTCTCTCTCCATCATTTTCATTTTAGAGCCATAGAACCTAGTCAGTATTTTTACGTTCCTGATATCCTGGTTTGAGTGTAATGTGCGAGTTATGAGAGTAAACATGGAACAAAAGCCTGTTTAGACGCAGACAGAAATAGCACATGCATTCTTACACTGATGCATACTGTATAATCACTCAACACGTCTTCATTGGCTAGGAACGTTACCGGCACCAACAGAGAAGAAAAGATCATTTGTTTGTATCTATGTGTGTAGTAATGGAAACTGTGTGCATACATGTGTGTTTGGGCTGTGATGTATGTCAGTCAGTCCTTGTGAACCAGAAGGTACTGGTGGAATAACTTATACAGAAGCAAATACTCATTTACTACCCACAGCCACCAACAGTATGCAGAGAGAAGATTTTCCATGCAATGCTCAATATACAATGCTGGGAAAAAGTCAGAGGGCACTCTTCCTTTCCTTTTAAGTTTCACGTCAAAACGGCCACTAAATACAAGTTATTTTATTTACACAAAAGCCTCAAAAACTAATATTCATTTTTGTAGTATTTACAGTGTCCAACCTTTGCATTTATTACTGCTTCCTTACTTTCCATGAGACTTGCTTTTATTTTTTCTATAATTCAGCAGGGATATTTTTCTGCACCATCAAAGTTCAGTATTAGAAGTAGGTTGGTTTTGATTGTCTGATCCAAGTAATCCTAAACACATTCAGTGATATTAAGATCTATTTCCTTTTCTCAGTAAAAGCTTCTTGACAGCTGCACATCCTTTCAGACTGACAGTGTTGAGTTGTCTTCTCACAGTGGAAGGATGGACAAACACCTATGGATTTTTTCAGATGTGAAGCAAGAGTGAATTTTGATTTCTCAAAGAGAAAAGCTTTAAGTGCTGTTTACCTGATGGTGCCAGTTTTGGTGGTCTATGAGGTCTTGCATGGTTGTTAAGAGTCCCATTTTCTCTATATATTTTAATCATTTTCATCAACTCCTGTTTTAGAAGCTCCTGATTTGTTTTTTGTTTTTTTTTCGTTTTTCATCTAAATGTCCACTTCCTTGTGCAAGATGATTATTTTTTATCTAATCTCCTCAGAAAAGTGAATAACTTGTACTTAATGGCTGTTTTAACTCGAGATTAAACAAATGAAGGGTGGTCACTGACTTTTGCTCAGTACTGTATGTTGTGAGAGTTGTAGTGGCCATTATTGGGAATTTGGTGTAATCATTGAAATGTCAGGTTTGCTCTGGTATCATTTTAAGAAATGTGCAATTCTCAAAATTAATTCTCCCATGATTGTGCCATGTGCAGTACTTATTCTTTGGCCTTGTCCTGTTTTTTTACTATTTACAGTTTTCCTCTTATTAAGAAGCCTAAGCCCTGTTTCTTATTTCTCTGATTTGATGTTTTTTTGCATAAATGAACTCCATAGTACTTGAAAATAAAAGACTTGGACAGGTTGTTGTAAGGAAAAAAATTTTAATTGATACAGAACCTTTACATTACATGTCTGATTTAGGTCTCTCTGAGGAACCCTTTTAGCACCTTTATTTTTAGGAGCACTGACTGACTCTTATTGGCTGACAAACAGCTAATGACCCAGTATTCAAAGGATTCAAACTGTTAATCCACATATCCAGTATGGATCTACAAAGCTTTTTATTGGAAGCTTAACAAATGAAATGTGAGCATTGGCAATAAAACGTAAAGCATATTCATCAACTCAAGTTCAACTTAAGTTTGAAGAACGTGAATGTGAAATGTGGTTTGAGGATTTCTGCTTGTATTCTAAATAGCAGAACTTCCATAAAAGTCCCCTCCAGCTGTAAAAGAACTCAAACCTAAACGCAGAGTACATGTAGCATTATTCATTCATTACGCATGTGATGTGTCTGTGACTGATCAGTACGGTTTGCCTCTGTATTGGTTCCAGGGACTGTAACTTCATCATCGGTTAGAGATGCTGACCCCTCAGCTATTACATTGCATCTGTCCAGTTTTGCACATTTCCTCTCTTCTTTCTCAATACATTGTTTTTCTTTTTGTTTTTGGCCTGTGGGTGGGTTTTTGCCGTTCAGAGACCATGGCTTGATTTTATTTTTACGTGATTCGCTTTGTTTTTAACGTCACAAATGTTTCCTCGGGCTTTACTCAGGGATGAGGAGCGTGTCTGAATAAGCGTGCGTGCAAAGCAGACGTGACAGTGTAGTTCTACATGTCTGTTTAGTGTACTCAAAAACTCTTGTATGTATGTGTATTTAAACTTGCCCCAGTGCTTAGGCCACTCCCATGAGGCCTTCCTGACCCTCTCTGTTGTCTTCGTATTATGTGTCGGTCTTGACTGTTTGCAATTAGAGACTGTATTTATGTCTTACGTGTGAAAGTCTGTCTGTCTGTCTGTCTGTCTGGTCGTGTTGCTTTCTCATCATCCGTGATGTCATAAGCCCTGATCCTCACCTGTTCGAGTGATCCAGACTGAGAAACGCATCATATATATATATATATATATATATATATATATATATATATATATATATATATATATATATATATATATTTAAAAAACCTCATTAAAGTGGGGACCACTTTTGTAAAAACTAACAGAAATAAAAAATGCACATGTTTTTTGTCATTTATAGAGTAGACTTTATAATACTGTTTCAGCACTTTCTAATCCGAGGAGAAGGCTTGGTCTCAGTGCCAAGTGTTTTTCGAGGTATAACATTCATTCAAATAGAGAGCGTCAGGGAGAGAAACAGAGCGAGAAAGAAAAGAGTGTGAAAGAGTGATGGAGTTTCTCTCCTCTTCGTGCAAAGGTGCCTCGCTCTCTGCTCGTTCCTGGGTCCAACGAGTCGAGAGGTCGAGGCAAGACAGTCCATTTTTTGAAGTTGGTCCTCTTGGAACCAGAAAACACGACTTATGTTGCACAACGTGTGCACAAAATTTATTTTCTTCATTAGGTCACATGGGTTCTGCGTCAAACCGATGTGTTAGGAACTTTGTTTTTTGTTGTTTTGGTTTTTTTGTTGTTTTTTTTTTTTGCTTTGGTCTTCTGTGTAGCACTCTGATCTTGTGGTAGAGCGCGTTGAGCGAATGTGTGATGACTCTGAGGGGCTCTATGACAGTGGAGCACCACTAAGTTCCTTGTTTTACTGGCACAAAATAACAAGAAAAGAATGTTGGTGCGAAATTCAAAAACATGTACTTTTCCTTTTGTTTTTTTTTTGTTTTTTTTGGGTTTCTACTAGAAAAGAAAAGTTCTGCGAGTCATGTTGACACCTTTTTCTTTTTTTCGTTTGAACTGAAATCAACCAGGAGTCCTCTGTTCAACTTGACTGTTGTTTGACGTCTTGTCAATGTCCAAATCGCTGGATTTAATAATCTCAGGCTGAGAAACTTCAACAAGCCCACATTTAAGGTTTTTGTTTGACCCTATACAGTGTGTGTGGGCTTCTTAATATGGGTAGATTGTTTATTATGATCAGTTCTTATTGCTATTATGATGATGATGATAATGATGATGATTATTGTTATTCAGCTGTGTCCATGCTGGATAGTAAACCTCGTGCACTCCTTTGAGGATGGAGGCACGCACATCATGTTGCAGTGGGATGCCCAGTCCTGAACGAGCTGGTCAACTGACAAACACTCACTCAGAGAGAGGGGCCGTTCTGTTCTCTTTCCCCAGCCCTGCCTCCTCAGCCCTCTTACCCAGCTGTCTTAGGCCTGGAGAGGAAAAAAAAACAAAAACCTCTACGGCAAAAGACTTCTTCTGAACCCCTCTTCTTTGGGATGCTAAAGATTGCTCGTCCATTTCAGGTCCTTGCCTTGGTCAACCACCGAGAACTAAAACCAAGGATGACCAGTTGATGATCGCTGGCTTGGACCCAAGGGCCACATCCGACTTGTGTATAAAGCTGTTCTCACATCCCCAATGTCATCCTCGTATATAGCAATCAACAACCTTTCGGCTGGTGTATGTATTTATCCTTCAGAAATTGTTTTGTCCAGAAAAATCTTTGACATCAAAATATGAAATATGACCATTTTGTACCACTGAGTATGTTGCCAATGAATGCTCAATACAACATCAATGTAAATCTGTATGTCACCAAAAAAGTACCATTCTTTTTTGCCTCTGAAGTTAAAACTCAGTACGAAAACTTTATATATAATATAACGTAATGGAAAATTAGTGACCGGAGGATGTACATTTTACCCAAGAGTGAAAGAACAGGCTTTTAGAGGAGACTCCAGCCTGCATCAGCAACAGCTTTTTTTTTTTACAGCTGAGGCCTGAAGCTCCACCTAGTGACCCTCCAGTGAAATGACCATCTTCTCATTGATGATTGAGAAGGGGAGGGGGTTAGTTCTTTTTTTAAATGTGCACGCTTTTCCTGCCACTTCTAGTTCTTTTGACTTTTACATTATCCCCCCCTTTTATTCAAAGATGCTGGGCAGTGAATGAGAGGTTGCATAGTGACACAGGAAGCCATTGGTCATTCCACAGGAAAGAGTGGTCTCTGAAGTTGCAGTAGTGTTAGACACTTTGGACATGGGTGCTGCGGGGTGTCGCTGTCGTGAAGAGGCTTAATGTCTTCCACTGGAAGGAGAAAGGAGGCTGTTTGTAGTTTCTTTCAATTGCCATTGTATGGAAAGGATGACGATCGTAGAACCACTCAACAGGACGTAGGCTCCTGTCTGAAAGCAATGGCTGGACGGAGGGAGGTGTCCGCTTTGTTTAGAGAGAACTGTACGTGATATGGTTTCAGAGCTTTGGAGTTACTGGTCTTATCGTATGTAAGATACCATGTTGAAGAAGACTGTTAAATGTAAAATCAATGAATGTCACGTCCAATCCCAAGATGCAGTACTCTTGAGGTTGATTTAGAGGATGCAGGCCAGTAGCAAGAAGCAGTCCTGGGAGATGGAGTAATGTTTTGCACCTTACTTAGTACAAGAAGAAACCATATATAATTGCATAAAGGCCTAAGTAGGAACTATTGTGAACGGAGATTATTTTTATTTGTTTCATTTTGTTTCCATATGCGTGCATACTCTGTAAGTTGTGTAAAATATTGTACTTGCACTAGCTTTTTTTAAAAATGGAAACTAATATAAAAATTCAAGAATTGAAATTCTATTTTCTAATTGTGGTGTGTCTATTTGTAGGATACACTCACGTCCATTTTCTTGGATTTTATGGTCCCTTTCTTTGATGGTGCTTGCCGGTTTTCTAGTTAGAACTTATTTCATTATTCTGAATAACAAAAAAACAATATTTGATTCAGGTTGTGAACAAATTTGTTAAAAGAAATCGTCTGTATACCAGTACAAGTTTATTGTTTCAGTATACACGTACTAATAAAATTTCAGTGCCAATAGCGAAATGTGGACTTTTTGGAGTTTGTGTTATTATTGGAAATACATAAAGAGCCCATATCCCATATATATATATATATATATATATATATATATATATATATATATATATTATGCCGTCTTCAAAAAGCATAGAAAGAGCTGAAACTCTCTTTAGAACCTCATTATGAATGGGCGAAGCTGAACTGCTGTTGGCTGAATAGGTGGATGTATGAAAATGAGTTGGTTTTTGTGACATTACGTAAACAATGCATTCAAAACAGGCTGTTTTTGCACCTTAGACTCCGTATAAGCATTGTAAGGACCAGGAAGTGAATGGTACGTTTTGAAACTTGTTTACATACTATGTCAAAAAGGAAAATTTGGTTTTCCATGATATGGGCCCTTTACTCAGTCCTGTCTCATGTTACACACACAACACAAACTAGTTTTTTTGCTGATTTGAGCCAAAGCAAGTATTTATTTCACAAAATTCCATATATACTGATAGCATATCTGTGACACACAGATGGATGACAAACAAAATAAAAGACATACATCAATTGTGTTACTGAAAGTGTTGGACCACCATAAGCCTCCGAAACAGCTTCAGTGTACACTGGCATAGATTCTCTTGAAACTGTACTGGAGGCATGGACCACCATTCTTCCAGAAGACATTCCCACAGTTGGTGTTTTCATGATGGTGGTGCTGAGTGCTGGTGACCGCAAAGGCCATAGCGTATCAGTTACATCATTTTCATACTCAACTCCTCGTACCCTGTGGATGGAGGCATTGCGATCCAGGAACAGACCACTCCCATCAGAATAGAAATGTGTTATTACAGGGACTCAAATGGACCCAAATGTTTTGTCAGGGGGACCCAAATGGACCAATATGTTTTATCATAGGGACCCAAATGAACCTAATCCTTGCCAGCAAAATGCCCCCACAGCATAACAGAGCCACAGGAAGCTCCTCACTTTAGAGGTCAAGCATTCAGGCTTTTACCATTCTCTTGGTGTACACTGCACATGCACTGTCTCACTTGTGGAGAACATAGTGAAGGATGACTCATCTTGTAGATCTACTTCTCTGTAGATCAGAGCCTGTGGTTTCTGTAATGAGGGGTTTTTACACTGCGATCCTACTCATATCCCTCTACTGTAGTTATGGATGGATTGTTCTTGCTGATACTGTCTAATCATGTCCTGCACCTGAGAACACTGAATGAACATTGTGACTAAGGCTTGTGCCATCTTTGCCCCAATAATCAACACCCCAGTTCACTTAGATCTTTTCCTCTTGCCATCTTGATCCAAAATCGAGGTTGTATGGGCCTGTTCAGCATTTTATACGTCACATAGTTTGATAGGGTGTTAACTGATGTTAATTGCTTATTTGTATAATGCAGTAAACCTGTCTGGAGGCATCTGCACGCAGGTTTCCCAACTCAGTTATTCAAGTTTTTCCTTTCAATTTGTCATCCCTCTATATGTTGTTAATACATTACAAAATGTTAACAACAAATAGAATACACTGCAATATAGTTTCACTAAATTATATGTTTTATATGGGAGGTTAGGGTTTGCTGGATCTGTTCCTCCTTCTTGGTACTTCGACGACACAGGCTTGTTGCTAGGAGATCATGCCCACCAAAATTTGGCATTAGGTGCGTATACCGTGCTTTCCATTAGAAAAGCACAGTGCCGTGGCTCCCTGGGCTCCTGCGCTGTTTGGGCAGATCCTGACGGAGGCGGTAATGGAGTGTGGGTGTGAGATGAGGTGGCTGTCTTGAGTATCAGCTTCCATTAGTAGCTGCCTCATTCATTTAAATAAGTGTCAACGAAGGCATAATCAGATCTAATCGCAGACACTGAAACCCACAGCAATCTGCAGAGAGTAGGGCCTAACACAATTAGCACAGATTCACTCAGCACCTGCATAACTCACCGCCTCTCTAAACACTAAACAATGCAACATTAACCAGGGCGCAGAGGGGTTAATGGAGCCAGTTGCTCTGCATGGTACAAAAGAACTGTAATATAAGTCATTTTTATGTCTATTTTTTATTGTAATGATAGCAAAAATAATAGTTTGTATTATTATTTTTAGCAGCACTAATAGTATATTTTTGATGTGATATTGTTATTGACTAGACAGTGGAAAATACAGTGATATAAATTTAAGTTTGCCCAGCCTGAGAAAATAGTAAAGCATTCAGCAGATGTTCAACGTATTTCATCTTATTTCAATACAGTTGATGATAGAGCAAGACAAATTCCTGGACCAATCACTGACCTTTATTGTGCTTGGAAAGTGCTTTGCATGTGCTTAAACATGTAGGAAATCAGACGGCATTGCCAGGCCTTAACTTATGAAACAAAGGCTCATCTGTGAAACTTTGCAGCTAAATTGGCTTTTGAAAACATAAAAAGATTATATGGGAATTCCTTTTCAGTATTTCTGCATGTAACTTAAACTTTAACTATAAACAAAGTCATCCGGAGTGGTTATTATAGCCATTTAGTGTAAAAGCTTTCTGTGAGGTATGATACACTTCAGATGTTTTGTGCTTATCATCACCAGTCTGAACAATACTGTATCTGTAAGTTACTCTAGGAGTAAATACATAGTCACAGTCATCACTGATATACCTTTATTACTCTGTCACTTACAGTGTCTCACTCAGTTTGACATAAAAGTACATATTTCCTGATCTGAAGTGCACAAACCTATGTGAACAGCACGTTAGGCGGTGCAGTCTTTCACATTCCTCTGGTCTGCAACAACGTCCCACCACACCCAGTGTACATTCATGAAGGAAGCAGGCCAACAGAAATAATACAATAGGCTGTGTACCAGTCTCTGCTCAAATCAAGACAAAAGTTGCATACGTTACATACGCTAAAACATATAAAGTGCTAGCACGCACCCGCAAGCCGCCACAACGTTTCAGTCGACATGTAGTATCTCTGCTGTATAAGGAGAAGATGCATTGCCTTTATTCCTCTTAAGCCTGGTGCTGGCTTGTGTCCTTTCACTGCCATCATTGTTGCATAGTTTCAGTGAATGAATTCTCCAAGCATTGTATTCCCTAAGGGCTCATGAGTCCCTATTCAACCTCTGTCATACTTTGCCGTCACTGCCATTACACACGCACCATGCTTGGAGAGCTTAAAGGCTTACATTAACAACAGGATGAATCATGCTGTAAATTGGCTGCTTTCACAAGAAAAAGGTATAGTATCGTACAGCACAGGGTCCTGAGCGAAACAGAAGGAATCTGTGGCATTGTTTTATTGTGTCTGTGTATGAACTGTCTCAATGAAAGATCCTCGTACCCAAGAAACATGCACAAATCAGGACATCTTGGCTGACACAGAAGTAGGTGAGGTACTGTAGGCTGTATGTTTATGTCTGAGTCTTGTTCTTCTACCGAGATCAAAGCAACATGTATCAGTTGCTCTACTGCTCCAGTGCTTTTACTAGCTGCTACAGTCCTTGGCTGGGTTTGAGAGTGTGACTGATCTTTTGTCTGCATGTTACCCCGATAGGTGTTGTGTACAGTACGGGGTGTATCTGTAATCTGGATGTACTGCTGGATGGGTCTAGGTGAACATCTGGCTGGACTGCTGTGTGACTCTGATGAAGGTGGTCCTGCGGCTGAGCTCCTTCAGTTTGGCTGCTCCTACGTAAGTGCAGGTGGAGCGCAGACCGCCCAGGATGTCTCTGATAGTGTTCTCTACATCACCCTTATAGGGCACCTGCACCGTCCGGCCCTCAGACGCCCTGCACACACATGAATGAGAGGGTGAAGAGACGACATTGAAGGTCAAGTTTTCAATTATTAAGGATCATAGAACAGTAACGATGAATACTGTAGTCCATGCTGTCACCCTAATGCTGCGGTTACGTGTTGGCGGTCAACGGCAAACCGGATATTCCATCATTTTTGAAGGAGAAATGGCAGAAAATCCGCCACTGCCAGGGGCGACAGCTGCGTACCACAGCCGTCAGAGGAATGTTACATCAAGAGTTCAATTTTAGCAACTATTGCTGTTGACTGCAGGGATGAAATAAATCAGATGTTGATTTTTTTGTGAGTTATGGATGCTGAATGTCACTGTTGAAGTCCAGGCTCATCCAGTATTATGCAACAAAAAACAAACAAATACAGAGCATCCTCCTGCCTTCATTCCACCTTAAATAAACAATCAACATGGGTAAAGCTCATCTCTGATAATCGTCTATTTTTGCTGGTGATGCTGTCACCACAGCAAATAGCGGTTGTTGAATGAGGCCCAATGTTTTTTTTTTTTCAACGCTAACATGCAGATCCAGTATTACTGTGGCTTTGAGCAGCCAGTGTTGTGGAAAATCTCATTTTAATCAATTCACTGCACAAGATCAGTGGTGGGTAGTAATGTAGTACTTAAATACTATACGTAAGTACTTATTTTGAGTATGTGTTCTTTTTTGAGACTATTACTTTCACACCACAAGATTTGAAAGTAAAATATTCTACTTTTTACTGTTTTGAATGAGTGCATCATTACTTGTTACTCTGAAGTGACAGAAAAAAAGACATTTTTTATCTGAAAATATGATGCACGATATCTGATGCATTTTAAAATTGAAGCTAACTAATTATAGTGCACCTTTCAGTAAACCACTCCCCTAAGCACCAACTGTCCAATCGTAGTTTGGCAACTGTAATAGGGCCATGCAGCAAGTTTTCAGAACAATATGCCATAATATTATGTTGTGGATTTTAACCACATACCCAGCAATATTGTAACAGTTTGAAGGGATAATTAAAATTTCACCCATTTCTTAAACCAAAGACATAAGAGGAGAAGTGTAGTATCCAGCTTTACTACTATAAAATCACAAGAAACAGGCACATCTGGTCTAAGGTATGTGACTAAGTTAGCTAATTGCTATATGATGATATTTCTTTCTTTCTAATTGTGATTTATTTTTCTTGATGTTTTTTTATGCAGGCTTCAAAGACACACTGGAGACCCTTTTGTCCACATGCTTTCTGAAAATTTGTCTGTTTTTAAACTCACTGTTTCATATTTTCAGCCACACAGTAGACTATAGAAATTGTTCATCAAAATATTGTGGCGTCATGCAGAAGAAGAGTCAGAATGGCCATAATAATAATTTCTACTCAAAAATGCTCTTTTATCTTAGAACAAGGCAGAAACACCACTTGAAAAGTAACTGATAGAGGCAGGTCACTCCTAGCACTACTCTTTCTCCTAATGGTTGTAACCAACCCAACCCTACTCCAACTAACCCCCAGCCCAACACAATAAAACACAACACACACACACCCTAAAGAGAACAACAACAACATTAACAACATCAAATAACAACATAAACAGTTGGTTTAGCAGGGATGGGGGTGGGCTACGGCACAGACTGTGCAAACTGCACCCCAAAAGTCCCTCTTTCGGCAGCTGCCTCAGTATTATAATAATTTTATATAACTATAATAGCTTGAATACTTCACTTTTGATACTTAAACACATTTAACAGCATATAGTTTGCACTTTTGCACTAGTTTGCAAGTTTAAATTAATCTACTTAAAGTAGAAATAGAAATAAAAAAGTGGACATCCAGTTTTATCTTTATCTTCACTCAAGGACAGTGTGCTTTGGCCACCACTGATGTAAACATTAAATATGGTAACTAAACTGCAAGCCTGTTTTGAATTCATCATGGTTCTGAAGTAATTTGCATATGACCGCCCACTCACATTGAAGTGATGAGGAGTGTTACTGCAGACAGTCTGAGTTATTGGAGCAGACGATATGGAGGAGAGTGATGAAACTGATGATGCTGTGCTGTTGCTGGCGGCAGCATCCCAAAAAATCCAGATATGCGAATTTTTGTCTGCCGTCTCTATCACCATTTATTGCACACATTTCAGCCCTGGCTGCTTTGAATGAGGCAAAATCCAGCCCAATCATTACCAAGGACATTTATGTTAACAGCAAAAAAGCCTGTTCTAAGAAATAAGCTGAGTTGGAAAATGGCCATGTAAAAATGTTTGATGGTTGTTTTCCCTGCATAAAGACACACAATCAACACAGGAGAAAAATAAACCACAACTGAAAAAAGAGTATGGGCACTAACTTTTACTGACTTAAAAACTGGCCACAGGCTTTAGCCATGAGTGTGTGCAGTCTTAGACAAAGATGGGCCAGTTCCTCTGGGGTGGGGTCTATTGATGACAACAACCAGTTACATCTCACCTGTACTCTGCCACACCACCGACATACTTCTTCATGGCAGTGTCTGAGCTCATCCCGTAGAACAGCTTGAACTTCTTTCCATCCTTCTCGATGATGTCACCAGCACACTGGTCATGCCCGGCCAGCATGCCTCCCAGCATGACAAAATCCGCCCCTGCGCCTACAGGGACACCGTCAGGAAAACAGTGCGATCCCTCAGTTCAGATGTGGATTTTAGGATTTGTGAGCTTTGCTATAAACACATTAATCTGAGAACATAACTTACCAAAGGCTTTGGCAACGTCTCCTGGACAGCTGCAGCCTCCATCCTGGAGAAAAAGAGTAACTTGATATACAGAGATGCACTATTAAGAATGTAACAGTAACTGAAGTTTGCTATTTTAGTTTTGCACTGGAGATACAAGGATAATGTGGCCAACAAGTAAAACAGGCAAAAATACAGACAAAATGTAGTAATAATGGACAAAAATACAAACAAAATTCAGGCTTTAAGATGAATGCTTCTACTGTTTTATCTAGGCAATGTGCTTTTGTCCATTTTATAGACAGCAGTATGTTATACAGTGTCACAAACCACATATGGCAGTCATAAGCCTACATTACATTACTACTATTACTTAAAAGTATACATTATACATATAGTATAATGTATCCATAATATACAGTATAAAGTATACAAAAAGCTACATTAGCCTTTTAGTTCTAGAGCAAAAAACTACAGACACCAGACTTGACTGACTGACTACATTTAGGGTAAAAGAAAAATTGAACTTTTACAAAGTGGATGATTCTGTGATATAATGACTTTAATGGCCTGATATGCCAGAAACAATTAAAGCCTAACTTGACACTTCAGAGCCCTGCTGGTGACATCCTGTATAAATAAAAATAATGTGTGGCCACGCCATATTAACATGTGAGGACAAGATCCTAATGCATGGCCACGACTTAGTAAGGCGTGATCTTGTTCCCACACCTTACTAAGTTGTGGCCATGCATTAGGATCTCATTCCTATGCCTTACTAAGTCGTGGCCACGCATTAGGATCTCGTTACCATGCCTTACTAAGTTGTGGCCACACATTATTTTTTTTTTATGCAGGATGTCACCACCAGGGCTCTGTATTGGCACTAAATACTTTACAATGATGGCTTTTGATAGAGAAACTCCACTGATCCTAACTGATCTCAGTACTGAGTTAATCTGTGTCTCATCTACAGTATATGCTGCCCTCTTGTGGTAGCCTAGCATAAGTGCAAGTTCTTGTTACAAATCAGCTCTTATTTTCTGCATTAGAGGAAAGTGTCTAAAAGCGCTCATCATAATGGAGAACTCACAGAGATGATGTGTCCTTTTAGTCCATGAGCAGAGTCCGCACACTCAATAACAGCACTTAACTGTGGATAACCCACTCCAGTCTTGATGCGGGTGGTGCATACAGAACCTGCAAACACAGTGTTCATCTTAACTTCCTAAAATCTAAGTTCCTCTATGTAGACCCACAGCTCAGTTCCTCACTTTCTTTTCTTTTTTAACTACATTACTGAAATAATAAGCCTTTGAGATTAAAGGGGCACTTTGGCCTAAAACTAGCATTTAATATGCTATTTGTTGTGTTTTGCAACATTGTGTAGCACACTATTGTGTACTTCATTCACAGTGGTTTGGCAGAATTCACAATTTTGTATTCTTTATGTGTTTTTATTCATCTATGTTCTCCAGCTACAATACCCAGCATGCATTACGCAAATACATTATTCACTCCTCCTCCAGCTGCGATAAAGAAATCCAGACTGCTAGTGAAGAACTTTTTTTCTAATTTTCTAACAGCCTGCCCTCAAGTACCCACCCAAGTTCTTCCCACCTTCAAAATACATCATCAGAAGGAGGTTTTCCTGGTATTTAAACCAAAAATGTAGCACTGGCGTAGGAGGCGAGTAGGCATGTTTACAATAGATGAAGCAAAGGTTATGTTTTTCTTTTTGGCCAGAGTGCCCCCTTAAAATCTGTGTAGTAAGCCTGCAGTTTAAGTCTTGCTTTGAGTAGATGAAAATGGAGACATGGTGCGTACCTGGCCCAATGCCCACTTTGATGATATCAGCTCCTGTCAGGATAAGCTCCTCCACCATCTCTCCTGTCACCACGTTTCCAGCCTGTTTGGTCCATCAGAATGAAGAGTCATCAATAATATGACTGTCAGTTAAATAGAACAACAGCAATACTTATTTATTATGCTTGGGAAGGAATTTACTCAGCTGTCTCACCATGATGGTGTGGTTAGGGAACTTCTCCCGAACTGTTCTGACAAACTCCACAAAGTGTTCTGAATATCCATTGGCCACGTCCAGGCAGATGTACTTAATGAGTGGAATGGCTTCCAGAATGCTGCACAGTCTGTCCAGATCAGCCTTGCCGCTGCCCGAGCTGGCCGCCACATGCTGAGAACACAAGATGCTTTAGAAAGGTGGCCCCAGTTCTCAGTATGCATCAGTGTGCTGTGCAGAGAGCAGCCTGATTGATTAAATTCAGATCAGCAGCAAATCAAGCCGAATTTCCATGTGACTGAATGGGTAGGATAATAAATTCACAGGAAGAATATTAAAGCAGAATAGATCTTCACTGTACACAGTAAAGCAACTGAAAGTTCTTTGACATTAAGGGCAACTTGGAATTAAAATCAATCTTTTTTACAATCCTTTTCAAGTCCCTGGTGACATTGAAGGGGAATTCCTCGATTTTTTCATTGTTAAGATGTAAACAAAGTCATTCGGATTGGTTTGACGTGAAACTATTCATTGTAGAAAAACTTACAAACTCAGATTTCTTTACAGTGGTGTTGGTGGGAACCAGGGGGACATGATGTCTACAACACAAACATATCCTTTGTATACATTTTCCAAATGACCAGTGAACCTACAAGTGTCTTCTGAGTTCTCCACTGTGACTGGCTTTGAAAACACATTTTATACCAAAAGCTTACCGCAAAACTATTGTAAAACAGTGTCTCAGGCAGAGTATTTTAACTAATTTTGCAAAGGTTAGCTTTTAGAGTCATTACACACTTTAGATGTCTGGTTCCTATCACCACCACTGTAAACAATTCTGACTCAGCAAGTTTCTCGGGAACAGAGCGTTTCACACAAAACAATGATAAATCATATCATTTATTTTTCCTCTAATCTTCCATCAAAATGTAATGTCATTTGCCCACCTCTGAAACAGTTTCTGATGATGTCACCATGGACCAGTGGTGGAGAGAAATACTATTAAACAATAATATCATGTTTCACCTCCCCCTCCTACCACCCCCCTGTCATCGAGAGAAAATGCTCTGCTGGCTCAGAGACCCTCCCTGACAGCTTGTTTCTCTCAAAAATATGTCACAGCATGGAAGAAAAATGCTTTATGATTTCCGATTCATGTTGGCCTAAAAAAGAAAATCCCAGGCCACAGCCCAGGTGGCCTCCCCACTTCCTCAGTCCAGGAGGAGTCCATCTGACAATACCACTAAAGGGCACAACTGTCTGCACATCAAACATCAAAACTGGAGCCAACCTAAATCCAGAAGACAGAATCTTCCATACTGAACTTAAATCACTACTATTTCTTGGCTCTCTTTTCCTTGTTCCTCTTACATCACATGCACAATAGACCTTTATGAACACTCAGCTGCTCTGTCATTTGGCAAAAGCTGAAAATACAGCCATATTTTTCATGTTACCTCTAAGCATTCTGGATGACTGGCTGCAAACGTCTTCCACTCTTCCAGGGAGTAGTGTTTGTGGATGGTGGTGAAGAGCGTGTGCTGAGAGAGGGAAAACAAAGAGGAGTTTGGAAGCACAGAATGGACGTACTCTGTTTCAGCACACTTTCCTTCTTTTGAAAATGTAACTTTCCTGCAGTTACTTTTCAATTAAGTAAGGTTTTGTTAGCCTAAACAGCTTTTGACACTTCAGGTATATGTTACAACACAGCTTCACATTCATCAAAGTGGCTTCCTTAGTCTGAAGAGCAAACTAGCTCTTCCTAAATAATGATTGGACAGATTTCTTTTGCAGACCATTAAAAGCTATTTTGCAGACTATTGTTAAAAGCACGTATCGAAACCTTTTTGGTCTGAAGGTGGTTTAAACACCTGAAAGGTTTCAGCGCTGGCATCACAACAAGGTGATAAAACGTGGACTTTGGCAATGTTCCAAAGGACACACTGTCACACTTACTGCCACAGATATTTAACGTGATATGTTTTTTTCTTAAATAAACCTGCTTAGCCAAACTATTTTAAACTGCAAAAAGAACATGCTCAGATATTAAAGGGCCCATTTCCTACATTTTGTTGTATTTAATTTTTTCCACTTATAAAATTTGTTATTTTATGTACCAAAAATAGTATAATAATTCATATTTACATAACTGTTTTCCAGCCTTTTGTTAACTTTTATAATTAACTAGACTTTTAAGATTGAGATGTGTAAATGAGCTCTGTTCTGACTGGCTGCCCTGTATTGTGCCTCAAAAACCTGAAACACTGCTTAGAACATCAGTGTGGATGGGCGGAGCTAAACTGCTATAGGCTGAATAGATGGATATAGGAAAATGAGTTGGTTCTCATTCCATCACAGAAACAATATATTGGCTGTTTTTGAGGCTTAGTTACATATAAAACATACGCAAGGCATAGTAAATGGTACATTCTGATCCTTTAACAATGTTTGTATGCTATTTCAAACAAGGGACATTTGATTAACAAGGTAAATTTGTTTTTTCACGATACAAGCTCTTTACTAGCATTCTGAAAAGCTGGGTGTCTGCAAACTTCTGATAGGCAGTGTAGTGTGAGGATCATTCTACTGAACTTTTTAAAATCAGAGCTGAAAACCTATTTTAGACTTTTAACTCACTTGAAACTTTAGACTAAAATCTTTTAGCTTTGGGTCACCCTATACCTTAATGTTTATTTTATGAAAACCACTGATTGAACATTGCATTTTGTCACTAACAAAACAATCATAGCACTACCAAAACTTTACCAAATGTTTCAGTAGTGACAATTTTAGCTAACTTTGAGCAGAACTCAAAAACGCTAGCCAGTACATAATGGGCGAACTTTGAACAGTTGCACACATAAAATCATAACATTTTCCATTAAAACACAAAGTTTGACTTAACTAAAATATGAGTTTCAGTAGTTACAATTCTTAAAGTTACACACTGATTTTCAGACTTTGGAACACATTTACTTCAAAACAATGGGATCTAATTGTTCACCATTTGGCCGTGAGGGACAGGCCGTGAGGGACAGCATCTAAAATGCAAGGCTCCGCCTATGGACTAAAACTCTTTGTGTTTTGGTAATGACATGAAAGCGTGGAAGAGCATTTTTTGAATTCATTTTTTAATATCTAAAAATAAAACTCATGATAAATCTTTTAACTTTAAATGAAATCAAAAAATAAAAAATAAACACTGAAAAACTAAATACAAAAAAAGTATTATTTTCACAAGCTGAAATTTCGGGGTTAGGGTTTGGGACAGCCACCTTCCAAAGAAAGTACCCTATAAATGATGATTTTGTATATATTTAGGTTATTATTATCTCTATTTATGCCTTGGGTTTAGCTAGATAATAACAACTTGTGAACATTTAAGGTCTGAACACTAAATTGCTGTTTTTTTTTTTTTAATAGAAACCACAGTTTGATCTAATTCAGTATAAATGTCTATATTGAAGATATGTGTAGCATATCAAGAAAAAGAAACAGCTGCTGAATCAGACTGTAGGTTACTGTACTGAAGAAATGCTCACCTTGCTCAGCACCTGGGCCATCTCAAAAGTACCTGTGGTGTCCATGTTAGCTGCGATGACTGGGATGCCATTGTAGGTCTGCTTTGAGTTGCGGAATGTGAAGGTCCTCTGTAGGTCCACCTAAGCAGAAGATAAACAAGGGCAACTATATTAGGCCCCACACACACACATACCAACACTTTACAACCTTTACAGCAGTTGCTCTTTTGGTGTGTAACTAAGGCCATTTTTAGTTTACAAGCTGTATATTCATTTAAGGCCCCTGAACCAACGGGGGACCCCAGGTATGTTTTAATTATTTTATAACATTACAATTTAAAGATTAATTTTGTTCTATTCTTCGGAGTGTGCAGTCTGGGGGCTTTAGATTCACCACGTAAGCACATGCTGTAGAAGCTGATGGCCATGTGTGGCTCATATGTATTTCTTTTAGATGTATTATTAGTAGGAGCATGAGTGATAGTTACCAGCATGTCTTACAGGAATTATACAACACTAGCTTCTCTTTTTATCTCTCTGTCCTGCTGAAATGAGCTTGTCTTTATATGCTAAAATCTTGATCTCTACATGATCACTGTCATACCAAAACCTCAATTTTGTTTAAAACACCAGCTGCTCTTTACATTATCTGAAAACTTCATAATGGACATGGCCTAAGATTACCTCTACTAAAATCTCATTGCATTTACATACATTAAAATGAAAAACACTGTTGTCCTCCTGTGAAGTTGGAGACATGATATTTTGTCACAGCAGGGTGATTTGAATCTAAAACAATCTGCTTAGAAACAGATGTAGTATGCAAACCCTCATATTTTATAAAAGCCTTATTTTGTTTAAAAGGGATTCAGTGAAAGGCCTTTCATTTACGGTGCTTCTTTCAAAAATAATGCGTGTTGCAAAACTGAGATATGTTTTTCTTTTGACAGGTAAGCAAACTGGCTACCTTAATGTAGTTTTGTGCAGAACCACTATAGGAACAGTTGAGTTAACGACTATGTGAATTATAACCTGATGCATCACACTTCTCTCTTTCAGATCTCATGTATTATAAGGGTGGCCGCTCCTTCTGCGTTAGCACTAAAGGCATGATTAAGTGAAGCATTTAGTAATTATGCAAAATGAGGTTAAGACGTGTAAGGGAAGGTGTGATTGGTCGAGGTACATTATCTGATAAGCTTTATTCACTGACCATATAAGTAAAATGGACAACATCAGTAAAATTGCAGGAGTAAAAATGCTATGTAACAAGGTTGATATCGGTTCAGCTGCTGTTTTAAAGGGCCCATCCCTTACCTTTATCTTGTATTTTATTTTTTAGATCCACTTCTAACATTTATGTGTGTTTAATAACTACAAATGATCATAATTCATTTTTACATCACCATTTCCAACCCATGTGCTTTAGAATTAAAGAGCCTGGATTTGTTACTGTGCCTTTAAGCCTGATATATGTAAGTGACCTCTGTTCTGACTGACTGTGCTGCTTTGTGCCTCATTCAGACAGCACTCAGAGTTGAAACACTCCTTACATATCAACATGAATGGGAGGGGCTAAACTGCTGTAGGCTGAACAGGTGGGTATTTGTAAATGTGCTGGTTTTTCTGACATCACAGAAACAGTGACTTCAAAACAGGCTGTTTTTGTAGCTTTGTTTTCATATATGGTCTGATAGACTTTAGCAGTGTTTACATACTACATCAAACGCTTATTTCAAGAAAGTAAGAAAAAAACACTTTATGTGAAACAGGCCCTTTAATATTAATGTTGTCTGACACTGTATGAGCACTGTGTCAGAATCATATTTCTTCTTACATGTGAGATTGATATGGCAAAAAACATCCTATCACGATACTTATTTATATTTTAATATCACAATACTTATCACAGAAAACAGTATTTTGTTTTTCTGAGGTTTGGTAAGTTCAAACAAAAGAAAGCCCCACTAGTGTCACATATAAAAAAACACGTCATATTATTACCACACACATTATTACTATTACAATGATAGATGCTTTACATACTGTACTACAGTAACTCCAGTGAAACAGAACTAATCATGCTCTCTTTGTAATGAAACATACAATTGTTTAGTGTTCTTTGAGTAATGGCGATATCCATGATATGCTCAGAAAATCATAATGTGATGTAATTTGTCATGATATGATAAAATATCATCAAACTGCCCACTCCATGTCATTTAAAAGTAGCCAGTTATTTCCATGCTGTTCCATACAAAAGTGTGTATTCCAGTATATTCTGTTACATACTGACAAAGTATAACCATACATTTCAGTTTCCTAGGGGATGGTTTCTGTAAGGTGGATGTCCAGCCTTAAATGCAGCAGCTTAATGGGCCACTGCATCTTAGCCTCTGCATCTAGCCGGTTAGGCACTGGCCAATCAAATCAGCCGAGCGTCAACAGGCTCTGCCAGCCTTTGACGTCATCCTGCAGCGGAATGCAGACTGAAAGAGACTCTCCTCTCGCTCAGGAGATCAATGGCTAAGACGGAGCTGCTGATTATGAGCCAGCAAAAACAGCATAGTCTTACACGAGTCAAGTCACACTCAAAGTAGCATTGAAGAGCAGGGTCTTGTTTGCTGGTAAACATGTAAACATGTCCCATGTTAATGTTTTTTGCCTTTATGGTAGAATGACTGTTAGTAAGATATCTCAGCTTCATAGATTGGAAATCAATGGGTTAGATGTTTATTACTTATACCCTAATAAAGTGATCACAGGCTTATTTCCACAACCCTATGAAATTAACCAGGCAAAACCCATTCTCCTCCCCACCAGAAAAAGAAAAGTATTAGCTCCTCGTAAGTGCATCATGTTGTTCCTTTTTGCATGAGTTGCTGAAGGGCAACTCCACCACAGTGGAATCTGTTCTCTCTGACATTTAGCACACAGAGCTCTTCAGACCTATTTTTAAACGCATTTTCTGCACACTGGCCCGGCTCATGTTGCTCTACCTTAGCTCGATCAGTTGTCACCGTGAGCTGGCCCTCTCCCTCGGGGTTGGGTATCTGGGTTAGATTCGGGCTGCATCAACAGCAGATAATGAAGAAGAGACAGAACGACAGACTGCAGTCAGAACAGCCTGTCAACAGTAGGCTCATAAGGAAGCCCACACAGGGGCCTAAACAAGGCCTTAGCCAAGTTAGTGTGACCTCGGCAAGGTCAGCTCTACTTGCATTCTCCACCACTCGCTCCGCTGCACATGCACACAAACCTTCAAACTAACTTAACCCAACTTTGACATTCTCCTAATGACAGACTTTCCCCGCAGAGATTTTTGTCATGTTTGCGTCTGAAGTCTTTGCACTGTTTGTTTAAATATGCGTGACAGGAGTAATTAGCCTATTTGTTATCTAATGTCCCATACTCTTCTATTACTATGGCAACCGAATTCCCCTTTTGGATCAATGATTTCCCCCTTCTGTCTGCCTCTATCTACATTTATGTCCATCAGAGACTGCTGATCTTACCTCTGACCTGCTCTTCAGGCTGCTCCTCTTTGGTCTGAACAGGACATCTTTAAAGTCCAGTTTGAGGTCCGCGTCCACCCGTGGCATGGCTGAGGGCCTGAGTGTGGATGAGATTCTTCTGAGCTGGGCTGGTGCGGTTACTGCTGTGCAGGTCCAGCCACCAAACCCGAATCGGCAGAAGCCCAGCGTATTTATAGCGTGCAACGGGCCGTCCCAGCCCAGGCCCCCATGGCTTTATTTGGCGAGGCCCTGTATTCTCCCTCTCTCTGCTCTCTCCTTCCCCCGCCTCTCTCGCACTATGGAGTGGCAGCAGCAGCAGCGGCAGGCACGCTTCCCGTCTGGCCAGCTGACACACATAAGCAAGCGCACACACACACACACACATACACACACACACTGCAGCTCAGCGCAGCACTGCAGTATGCGCAACAGCGTGCGAGCAGGGCCATTACCCCTGCATCCCTACAAGCAGTCCCCTAAGGGAGTAGGAGAAAATGAAGGGGGGGGTGAAAGAGGGATAGAGAAGAAGGAAGGAAGATGATAGCATCTGATCTGGCTCGCCCACTTAATAGAGTTGTAATAAAGCATGCATAGTCTGATGAAATGTCTTAGCTTTTATTGCTGTAAAATTTTTAAATTTCCTTTTTTCCCCAACATTTATGTAATATTGTGATATCTGTCAGCAATCTCTGAGACATGATTGGCTGTTTACATGGTTGATTTATGAACAAATATTGCAGAAATAAAGATTGACAATCTAACACTCTTGGAAACTATTTCATGTGGTGAATATCATATCCACATCATACAAAAAAGGAGACATGGACAGTCTCTCCAATCCAAAATGTAAAACGTACAAAAATAATTTATTTTCAGTGGTTTGTCTTTTTTAAAAAAAGAAAAAAATTAAAAATAATAAAAGTGCATTCAAAATCCCTTATTCCAGCCAAACAAACCAGAGAGACATTCGAAGAAAGATATTAGGCACATCATTATATTTTATATATAAAACCCCTGATTGTCTAAGGTTACTTTAACACCTCCAGTAGTATGTTAAATGCCACAAATTTGTAAATGCTATGCCACTCCTTCCAGTTTGATGACCCAGGCCTCGGCAGGGGTGGAGGGCAGGTCCGGCAAAAGCATGACAAGGCCAGATGAATGCAGAGGAGCCCACTTTAGAGGATCAGGGTTCCCCAACAAAGTCACCTAAACAAAGAAGGTAATATAGGAGTTAGTGACACCATTTTTCATCCTATTAATGACCATATGTAACTGAATGGATCAGTCTCACAGTGCAAAAAGCTACAGAAATACATACCACAGTGCTTTCTGAGGTTTTGGGGACAAAGAGCTGGAAAGAGAACTGCTTTGGATTTGTGAGAAAGGTGGCATACACTGCAGAGCTTGTGGAAGTGTACCTGCAATTGGGAAGACAAGTAAAACAGTAATGCATTCCAAGAGACACTGCTTTCTTTCAAAGTACTAAAAGAAAACAGAAGTTTCTCTTCTGTTTCTGAAGACACACTGATAAGTTACAAGCACAGCGGACCACAACTGGTCAGAACTGAAACTCTTCTTAAAAGTTGTCTTTTGGATTTGGACCATTTGGATTTCACCAGTCCAAAAGTGGTTTTTATTTCTGTTGTAATTTTCAATCTTTATGACTTTTCCCCAATTTAGAAGAATACAGTTGCTGGGACATTACCGAGATCTCTTCCGGGACAGTACTGACATCTCTTCTCCATCACATGACGGTGATTTGAATTTTTTTATTTTGAATGATTTGAATTTTTGAATTTATCGCTGGTGCTAGATAAGCAGCACCATAAACAGTATGAGAAGATGGCTTAGGCAGTATAGAAATATTTGATATTGCACATTGCACGTAGGAGTGACAGTTCATAAAATACATAATTGACCACAATGACCATGAGCAGTATAACGTAACACAAAAATGTGTATATGTGCACTACGCATAGAGTTCCTTTGTGTAACTGATCTTTTTCGTACTTGCACAGGTTGAATTTCTCCTTTCACGTGCAATAATACTGTCATATTCTACAGCTCTGGTTTATGTACTAAAAACATAACTTATTTTTACATGACCATTTTCAAAGCTCTCTTTATCCTTTAGAATTTTTGTCATTGTGTTTTTAAGACTTATATATGTAAATTATCTCCATTCTGATTGTCCTGTACTGAACCTCCTATAAAAACCAGTCCAGGCTAAAACACTCCTTATAACTTCAGCATGAATGGGCAGGGCGAAACTGCTGTGGGCTGAATGGGTGGGGATCTGTAAATGAGTTGGTCTTTGCGACATTAGTTACCATATATGGACTGTGTGGACTGGCCAGTGTATGGCACATTTTGAAACTTTGTTCACATGCTCTTATTTCAAGAAAGTGCGTTCAGTTTTCAAAGATCTGAGCCCCTAAAACACAGTAACAGAACTCACTTTTAGAATAAACAGAAGTGCTTCACTTTAGTTCAAAACTCACCAGACTGGCACAGTGCCATTCTCAGTCTGTACCCTCCATGGCTTGGTGCTGAAGATAGCCTCCCCATTAACCTTCAACCACTCTCCAATCCCCCTGAGACGCTCCTCAAATACAACTGGAATTTGGCCATCTGATGCAGGCCCAACGTTCAGCAGATAATTTCCTCCCAGAGCCACAGTGTAGACAAAGTCCTGCAGTGGGGGAAAAAGTGTCAGAAGTCAGCGCAAAAACATATGAAGGATTAGAACTCAACGTTCATAATCAATTTCACAGCACATGTGATTAGCCATCTGTTTACATTGGTTATATTACAAGGGCAACGTATTTCACCTTTATAATGGTGGGCAAATCCATCAACTCGCTGAGTTTCATGTTTCTACGGTAACCCCAGGAGCGTGTGTCCACTGAATTGCATTTCTCCCATTTGTGTTCAGGCAGCTCAGATGGAGTGTACTTGTCAGCACAGTTAAAGTAACCGCCATGTTTGCAGTAGCAACCCTGTCCCCATCTATCATTGACCACGATAACGTCCTGCAGGGGTGACACAAAGATACAACTTAAAATTCCAAGACATATAAATATAAGACAGATGTGATTTAAAGACTGAATTTCCCACCTTGACTGGACTGTCATTGTAGAGCCAAGCCAGGAATTCAGTGGAGTTCCAGTAAGTGTCAGGGGCTTCCCAGTCACCATCTGACCATATCAATTCTGGTTTGTAACTAAAAAGACAGACACATTATCAGCTAACAAACGTCCCAATTCAAAACTTTAACCTTCCCTGCATGGCCAGACATGCCCAAAACAAAACTGAAATAGAAGCTGTACAGTCTGCATAATCTGTCAGTGTAGGACAATGAGTTATTAGGTCTAGGTGTGTGGATAAAAAAAAAAAAAAACATGCAAAAATCAGATTTCAGCACTTTTCATAAGACATCATTTGACATGCAGCATGTTACCTTGTGACCAGGTCATGCAGCTCTGGCATGACTTTGCTATAAATGAAGTCTTGTTTTGTGAAGTTAGATTCCTTGTCACTTAAGTAGAGGGGATGAAACCATTCGTACAGGGAGTGGTACAGTCCAAAGTGCAGAGACCTAGAGGAAATGTTCATAAACACGTTAACATACTCTATATATAATTACAGTCACGAGCAAGCAGTAGGGGTGAGCAATATGATATGTATTGTTATCATGATAAACTGCTATAATATGCATTTCTGAGCATATTGTGGATATCGCCAGCGCTTAAAGAACACTGACAAACTGCATAGTTCATTCCAACAAAAGCACAATTAGTCCTGTTTAACTGGATTTTGTGCAACATATGAAAATTTGAATGTATCATTGTATCCAGTTTTCAAAAGTATTTTTTAGAGGCAGCTATTCTATTTTGTCACTTCCAACTTATCAAATCTTCAAAAGGCTAAACATTGTGACACTTATTGTGTATCAAGGACATTTTTAGACATGTTATGTCACCCACCCCTATTAAGAGTCACACATATTAACAGACACCAACAGAGACATAAGTGCACACACTTTCTCTTCCGAACAGCAGTGGCCAGCTCTCCTACAATGTCTCGATGAGGCCCGTTATCAACAGAGTTCCAGTTCCATGAAGTTGGAGATGCCCAGTTGGTGAAACCTTCGTGGTGTTTTGAAGTGAACACAACATACCTGCTCAGCACACAAGCAAAAACAGTGAAAACAGCTTACAGGATGGAAATATTAAACACTTGCTAGACATTCCACAAAATGGTCAGCCCTTATAGAAGCTGCACATCTTATCACCTCACATCATCCATCCATTCACTCAGTCACTCACTCATTCACTCACTCACTTCGCCCCAGAAGCTTCGAAGATCTCAGCCCATTCATCTGCATCGAAGAACTCAGCCTTGAGGCCAGGTGCAAACTCTGCGTAGGAGAATCCAAGTGGGTAGTGTTTTCTCATGAACGAGACGTAATCCAGATCCTTTTCGCCCTGCCAGTCCCACCAGAACCACTCGCTGCCGTAGGAGGGCACAGAAAAGACCCCCCAGTGGATGAAAATGCCGAATTTAGCCTCGTCGTACCAGGCTGGAAGAGGTCTGGCGTCCAGGCTCGCCCAGTCCGGAGTGTACCGGGCTTTTCTGCCCGACACACAGAGCACAGCGCAGAGACACAGCAGCAGCCAGCGGAGACTTTCCGAGCCCATTTTAAAACAATGTAGCAGAAGCTACACGACGTCCGTTCACTTTGGTTCTCACCCGGAAACAGAAATTTCTCTTATTTGTCCTCAAAGAGAAAAACAACACAGAACTGTCGGCGAAATCTACCAGGACGTGTAGAACTGGTTGTTTGCGGATCATGTGACAGCCGCTCTCCGACGGTCATATGATTCATTCTACGAACGTTTTGTTCGTTACTCGACCGGCTCGTTTGCGCATTCAGGAAGTCAAGGTGAGAGCTATGCTGCGTAAATGACCAGCTACAGTCTTATGCAAATGTTTGTGCGCCCCTGAACAAAAAGACATGCTTTGTTTCTTTTTCTGAGTGAAAGTAAATACATCCTCTATACGGAACACACTTCTGCACAGTTTAATGCACTATTTGTTGAATTTAACATATTAGACAAAAATATAAAGTGTGCAACTTTGTCACAGCGGCAGAAGTTGCTTGTCATGCTGTTCACACTCAGCTGCTGCTTCTCTGCTCGTGACTCTTTAAAGCCTCGTCAAGCACTGAACTGGAAGCCCATTCACCCCTGATTTTTCCCTCTGTGATTATTCTTTGTTTGGCAGTATCTCAGAGTAATGACTTCTTTCATTTAAAAAAAAATGACTTATGTCCTCGAAATATTGACTTATTAAACGTTGAACGTATCCTAAAATTGACTATCAAAATAATGATTTAGTATCTCTAAATAACAACTTACGTGTCTTGAAATTGTGCCTCACACTGTCAAAACGTGATTTTCCTAAAACAATAACTTACTGTCAAAATGATCACTATGGTCATAATTTTGACAGCTATTGTTTTAAGACAATTACTTTTGACGCCACACTATGTCTCATCATTCTTACCAACTTGACCATATGAGTTATTTCTAGAAAGTACAGAGTTTCTAAAAATAACTCATTTTCCACATAGTATGTAAGAATTTCAAAATCTTGATAAAGTTACTGCTTCAAGACTAAGTCAATATTTCAAAAATGTGTGTCAATTTTTTATCACTCATCTGTAGTAAAGTAACAAACGAATGTCAGTTTTGAAATGGTTAGGTATTGAAAATGTGCTCAGATTTCATTGTCAGCACTAACGGATTCTCATTCTTGCTCACTGACATGTACAACCATGATTATGTTTTAATAGAGAGAAGCAACATGCCTATAAACACACTTTCAGATATTATTTGTGGGACACATAACATCAGAATATGTACGTTTGTAAATATACCAGAACCATGAACATTACTCTTATTTTCATGTTGAGGAAACAGGACTGGGGCATCACGGGGCTGAAACACAGGGTCATGGGAACACAGAGCCCTGGAAACATATTTCCTAGCCATGTAACGTTCCTGGGGGACACAAAGGTGACCCCGGTTCAGTAAGTATGGCCTGAGTTAAGGATTGCTGTGACTTCCTGGTGGAAAACAGATGCCACAGTTCTAACAATTGAAATGCAAGCAAGTGTGGAGCCTTTGGTGATCTTGTGACCTGATTACTCAGCAGTTTGGACTGAAGATCAGCAAGACACAAAAATACAGATCACCATTTATTTCTGCATGTTATTTCATAATATCAGAACTTCATGGTCAGTCCCACACAGCCACTTTTAGGGTAAGCATACTGTAAATTATCGTTACATATGAACTTTCATACATAGTAAAAGTAAATAAAACTAAAGCTATAAAAGTTGCACTTTGGTCATACTTCAATTGCACACAGTAACTGTACTAATCCATGATTAACATTGTGGGCTCAAGTCATGTTGCTGTAAATACTCACATTTTAAAATACCAAAACTCAGATATGAAAGTATCCCGTTACACACTGTAGAATCATAATAGAAATTAACATTCTCAATATACAATTACTTTTCTCAAGTAAAAACCTAAGAATATGATTGCCTTCTCATTTTTTTCATCTCTCGAACGTGGACAGTTATATGCATAATGCAGTATTTGTCTAGACTGGATGGTCGTCGCTGGCCAGAGGATAAATAACTAGTGTTCTTGATGCACCCACACACAGAAAGTAAAAATAAATAGTCATACCACTGTAATACTTTGTGCCATTACTGCTATTGTGAATAATCCAAGGTAAAAGTTTCACATTTGATATGTCTCAGTGATTCTTACCAACTTGACCATGATTAAACATCTGCATCATATTTATGAAGATTATTAACGTTTTAAAGAAAAAAAAAAAATCAAGGAAAATTCTTAGTATTGTACCTTTAAGGCAAAGATGTAAATACCTTTCATTATACGTTTAAAGTAAGACAAAGCATCCAGTCAATTCCACCTAGGCTGTGGAAATCGGGTTAATCAGGTTATGGACTCATTCCCTATAAACTGACTGCAGTTCCTCTCAGTGATGTGCATAAGGCTCACATAGAGCTGGGCGATATGGCCAAAAATGTTATCACGATAAACAAAATTCATATCATTCGATATACATATCACGATAAATGTCAAATCATTATTTCTTTCAAGTTTGAAGGCTGATTTTTGCTCCTGGGAATGCACTAATATTCATATGACCTTTTGAGTGCTGTAACAGTGCTGTAGCTGTGTGGAGCAGTTGTGATTTAACGCTGCTAAAGCTTATTAGGACGTTAGGAAAGGGGAGTTCACTGTAGGACAGTACAGTTACGACACTTATCTCATCACTCGCACTCGGTCACAGGAGAACAGATCACCGATCACTCCACTCAAACAGGGAATGTCTAACCCCACGTTTCAGGCGTTGCTAAAGTATATCTGGCGACTCATTTTACTCGTCGCCCCCTCCCTCTCTAATCATGTTGAAAAATTTGGAAGTGCACCCTCTCCTGGCGACAGCAGAGTAGTGTCGCTTTCCTTGCAGTAGAAATAGCCACCAGGGTTTTCGCTAGAACGTGGAAGTGTGAGAATGGTGTATTATATCGAAAATTTATCAAACATTTCTTATTGTTCTATCAAGGAAAGTTATATCGAGATAATTATCATTATCGTTTTATCGCCCAGCCCCAGGCTCACAACACACCTTCCTTTCTTACCACAATGAGCATCACTGATAGGTTTGCTCTCCATCTTTTTCTAAAACTTTACCAACATTTGGTACATAACATCTTTTTTTCCCAGGCCTTGATTGTTGTGTGTTAAGTACGTTTATAATGAAGCGTGACTGAGGGTGATATAACGATACTGCCAGGTTGAAATGAGATCAGGACCAAGTGACTACAGAAGACTCCCACCCTCTGCAAGCTGTCTCTGAATGTCCTTCTTATCATCCAGCTCACCAGCGCCAGCACTGGGCTCCTCATCTCCATCTTCCATGAAGATCGGCCAATCAGAATCTCCTGAGCCCTGCTCCACACTCACTGATTGGCTGCTGAGGTTCATGGATGGGGAGTCCTCGTTAGTTGTAGTGACACAAGTACAGCCATCACAAAGGCCGAACCGCTTCAGTCCCTGTGAAACGACCCCGGAGAAGACACGTCTGCAGCCCTTACACACAATGGGCCAGCTGGAGCGATGGACCTGTCGAAGCAAAGGCAGGTGTATACAGTAACATGAAGATAAGGTGTCTGCAATCACACAAGGTCCAAAAAAACAAAGAAGCACCACTAAAGGTAGAGGGTAAGAGCCAATTAACACAGAAAGTGTCTGAGTCACCCGACTGACGAAACAGGTTCAGGCTCCACTTTAGTTAAGATTTCAACCCATAGAGACACTGACTGTCTTATGTTCATCAAACACCCCTTCAGCGCTGCTGCGTTTCTTTTTACACATCCAGGAGTACACGAGTGAGGACAGATCATACATTTTTATAGCCAGTTTCCTTATAACCAAAATGGCTAATTTTTTTTAACTTTTTTTTTTTTTATTAGCCTCTTTTTCAACCTGAAGCTCATACTATGTGGGCTAAACACGTGAAAAACGCTAGTACCCTGCAACTACTTTCTATTAGCCAAAATCATAATATAAAAAACATTATTTGCCAAACTAGAATTTTAAATTCATAAATGAAAATTGACTACATAGGAAGTTATTCTTGTTATTACTTATTATTTAAACAAGAATCAAACAAAGTGCTGCACTGAAAGTAAGAGGCAACTGGCTTTTTAGTGCAATTAATCGTGCAAAATTATTCTCTGACATTTTGGTACCGGTGTAGCAGCAGAATTAAAATACAACATGAGTGCAGTGTCTCATAATATGTACATCATAAATTTGCAACACAGATCAGTGTAGATCAAATTAAAAAATTGCCTGCTAGTCATATGTTTGGAGAAAAAAAATCTGCGGATTCCAATCTTGGCCGATTCCAACTGTGCAGCCCTTCACGTAAGTAAATTTTGTATATTGTTGTGTATTGTGTTGTGAATAGGGTTGTAACTACTCACAACCTTCATAATTCAGATTAATAAGATACAGTAATGTCTCTTGAAACACTTTTCAAACACATAAGGAGTGCCTGAAAGTGTGCCTTAGGTTTCCAACTTCTTTTACAATGCTAAATGTTTATTACAACATTCAACATTATAAAAGGACAATGAGACTTTGGAATGGCAGTGAAGTTGCATGGGCATATGCACACATACTGAACAAAGGCCCAGTTGCAGAGAGAAAACCACAAAATACAGGAAACATCATCTTAGCTTAACCACCACAGCCACTGAACTGTTTAACTGTTTTCTTTAAATTTCACTGACAAAGACGATATGCACACAGATGAGCAGACATGCCACTAATGTATCCTAATGTGCTAATAACAGCCTCAAGCTAATGATCTAGTCCTGAGCATTACCCCCTAGTGCCAAGCTTACATGCTAGCCACAATCTAGTGAGAAAGTCATGTGCTGATGCACTAGCCATAAGCTATTAGACTTACTGGGCATGTACTTTCCCCCAAACATATCTGGTGACGAAGAGGAAGGGATGTTCTACCCTAAACTAGGCTCATTAGTTTTTATTACCCCTCAAGCAATTTAGGCAGTATTAAAAATTAGTAATTTATTTAATCTAGTCTGGTGAATGTACTGTTCAATGTCCCATGCATTTCAAATAGAAAGGTCTGACCTGAATCAAAATACTAAATGTTGTATTGTTACACCCAAAATTGTGCATAAATTCATAACTTACTACAATGTTACAGTCTTGTTCTGTTCACATTTTGGCATTGAAAAACAACGTTCTGTGCCTCAAAGCAGAACTGGGGTCATATAGCCATATGCATGCATAATGATCGCACTGGCGTCCCTAAAGGGCAATGGTGTTATCTGCCCTATGTCGTGTTTTAAACACATGCAAATGTTGCTCAATATGCCTTATGGTGTGTTTTTATCATAGTCCGTAATAGTTGCAGAGCAACTACTGCATAGTACTATTAGTATCTGTACTTTCAGGAGAATAAGTAATACTTTTACCCAACCTTTTTTGTTGTAATCTTAATTTTGTCAGATCTGCTGTTTGTCCCCACACATTAAACCTGCCGTAAAAATGTTCCTTTAGAAACGGAAAAGAATATAAAATGGCAGAGGACTGAGTTTGAAACAGCGTGGATTGGACGAATGGTCACTGTGCTTCACTCACAATGTGTTTGATGTGTCTGGTGTGAATTCTGAAAAAAAGCTTAACATTTTGAGTAGCTTACAGTAACAGCATGTGTCCGTAGATGCTCCTGTCGTGTGAAACGTTTTCCACAGATCTCACATGGATAAGGTCTTTCCCCTGTGTGGCAGCGGATGTGCCTTTTCAGAATACCCTTCTGTTTGGTGGTGTATGGGCAGAATGGACATTTATGTAGTCTTCCTGAGTAAGTAGAGTGACATTTTAAATTAAGCCAACCCTTTAAACAAGTCTCTAAAAACAGCAATCATTCAAACAAAGACTAGGCACACATTACAGGGGGCACACATCTGATTTTTTTTTGCCTAAATGTGACAGATCTGATTTTTCCAGAGCTGTATGAATACAAAAATCTTTTAAAATGATGAGCCATTTGGCTATATTCACATTTCAAGCCTTATCGCCCAATTCTGAGTTTTTGCTCACATGTGATCTTTCTAACTTGATGGTTCACATTCATGTTGGCAAGGGACTCAAAACTGTCATTAATATGAATGAACCCTGTCTAAAACAGCCCACATGTGCAAATCCTAATCAATAATGTCACGTAAGCACCATCATGAAAAAGGGTTTGATGTGTTGCTTTAAGCTAGGTGCTGCTGCCAACACTGAATGAGGGTGCTGTTAAAAACCAAACCAAAAACAAATAAACAAAAAAAAAAAACAAAAACAAAACACCTGACCTGACTGTTTTCATTAAGGTCACGAATCGGATATATATCCAATCTCAGACCACATATAAAAGAGGCTCATATTTGATTTGAAAAGATCAGATTTGTGTGTTCACACAGCTCTAAAACATCTGATCTATGTCACATTAAGGCAAAAAATCTGATTTGTGCCACTTCAACCAGGTAACATAAATGTAGCCTTACATACATGGTCCTAGAATGGTCCTAGCCGACCATAATTAGAGCAGATTAAAATTTGTGTTTTTTTTTCCCCCTGCGGTGCATGGACATATTGTCTGTCTTTTCTGGGCAGAGGTCTGTCACACTAATGATAGATAGAGGCAACTTACAAACATAAATGGAAAACTAGAATTGAGCAATAAAACTGCTGTGAATACAACCTTAATTATCTTTCAGTCTGATCCCACTGTTGATACAAAATTCTGAAAAAGTATGTACCTGCATCTTCCATATACCAGTCACTTTGCAGCTCCATACTGCAAGGGCCTCCGTGCCCAAGACCCTCTTCCACACGGCCCATCATACTACTGCTCCCCAAACTATGGGGAAAATGAGGCACAAGCTCCTCACGGTTTGGGTTGGGTCCTCCACGAAGCAATACATCTACAAACTGCTTCATCTGATAGTTGGGCAAGGACGTTGGCTCTGTGCTGGGTGCAGGGCTTGAACTAAGGGTCCTGTCCTCACCATGACTGGGGTCTACATAGAGGGCCATTTCTTTAGATTCAAGCGAACATTCACCTTCCTCATCAGGGTCAAATTTAATCTTGGGGTGTACCAACCCCACAAACAGCCCTGAAGAAGAAGAATTGATCAAGTCCTGCCCTGAGTTCTTAATAGGGGCATTTATGGGGGGCTGGCTGGGGAATCCTGTTTGTGAGCTCTCGCTTTCAGAGTCTTTGCTGCTGGTAGCAGCTGGTGTGGAAAGAATATCTGAAGGAGCCTCCACTGAGCTGGGTGTCTCCATACCCTGAGGGGTTCCTCTATCTGTCTGAGACGTGGAGGCCGCATTAGCACTGGAGACTGAAGCTGGAGTGCCACTATCAGCCGGTCCCTCTCTCTCCCTACCCCTCTCCCTCTGGCTCTCTTTCTCCCTGTTACAAATCTCCAGTGATGATTTGATGTAACCTTTACAAAAGTTCACCACATCAGTCATTTGCAAGTAGCTGGCAGCTGACATGATTTCAATAACATTATCGCTCCGCAGATCTATCCGACCAGAGTACAGAAAGTCCAGAATAAGAGAGAACGCCTCTGCCGTGACAATGTCCAATGAAGCTGTGCTTTGCCTATGACCACTGTCCTGCAAGTAATGCACCAGCAGAGCCCGGAAATAGCCGCTGCTGGCAAACAGTATGTTGCGGTGAGCTTTGAAGACACGACCCTCCACAATGACGCTGCAGTCACAGAAGAAGTCTCTCTTACGCTGTTCATTTAGCTCACACAAAAGCTTGGACTGATAGGAGGGCACCTCCATCTTCTCCCTTTACATGCAGCCAGGATCTGTTGAGTTTCTGTGCCAAAATTTAGGAGACAGATTAATAAGGATTGATCATAAAGGGTTAATGAATACTGAATAACCAAGTAGGCAGACATTAATAACGTGTTACTTGCAGCAATTAAGACGGCACAATATCTGTGAACATTCACACTGTGAATATGTTGCTACACATTGCAACTGTGAAATCTCTCACTATACAACGCTGCGAAAAGCATTAATGGTGGATATGAAGGTTTAAGACAACCTTGCATTATTCTGAACAAAATGCAGTTTATCCAGCTAATTTGCTCAGTGAATTTCTGAGTCTTGTATTTTTTAATTTATGCATGTTCTATCTTGCACTGCATTTTTTCGAAGACAGGTATTTTATTATTATTGCTCTTATAATACTCTGTATGTGGACTGTAGGCCAACGTACGATCAGGTTGTTTTCTAAAGCCTTGGCTACAAGTCACATCAGAATCTCAAAGTTAACAGTAACTTCATTAGTTTTTTTTTGTTGTTGTTGTTGTTTATGGCCTCCAGGCTTAAAACTCTGAGGGTCTTACAAGTGAATGGTGCATTACACGACAGGGAAACGTTTGTGAAACCATTTAAAAAAGGAACTGCAGTGAGCTATTAGGATATTAGTAATAATATGGCCAAAATATATTGCGAATATATTGCTACACATTGCAAATGCAAGATCCCTTCATATACAGCAAAAGTATAAAAGGTTGATGTGATGTTAATGGCTTGCATTATTTTAAATTACATTTAACATTAAGTCGATTATCCATCTAGATGCGTGCTCACTGAATTAGTCTTGGAATCTTGGCTCATGAATGCTGGAAATGTTTGGACATGCGCTGAATTTTTACGTATGAAAAGTGCCGTTACAAACAAACATGGTTATTGTTTCTGTTGTTATTGTTAGTCTCTATGTGGACTATGGGCCACCTTACTGTCAGGGTGTTTTCTAAAGCTTAGGGTAAAGTCACATTAGTAGAATCTTAACAGGTATTACTTCATTAGTGGTAGTAACTGTAGTTAGCTTAACAGAGAAACGTGAGTGAAACCATTTAAAGCGTTACTGAGGTGAACCGTTAGAACACCGCTAACACCGTTAGCCGAGTTCTGTAGCGCTTCGCCGTTAGTATTTCAAGGAACAGCGCTTAGCACGCAGCTTACAAGACTGCTGTTCTCCTGCTAAGTCTACAAAAGAAAGTTCATAATTCACATGAACGAACGGAATAACAGGGGTAGCCTAAACATATTACCTTACTAATGAGGGAGCCTGTAATTCCAACGACCGAACTGTTTATTCTCCCCCAAAACTTCGTTCAGTGATGTTGCTAAGCTGTGGTTATCCGCTTCCGGAGACCATGTAGTGTCACAAGAGAAATGACGACACATCTGACAGACCAATCGAGAGCACCGTTTGGCGAGGGAAGGGTGGAGAGGTGGAGGGACGGATGGACGGATGGAAGGATGGAAACTACCTACATAAAATTATGGATGTATTTTTTTAAGGCCCATGTCATGGAAATATGAATGTTCTCCTTTTTCTGAAGTAAAAAATGTGATGTATTATGTAAACATTATCAACGATTAAAAACATCCCAGATAGCAAAGTAACGTTGAATCAACGTTGATATCGCGTCATTTTCGTCTTTTTTGGTCGATGACCGAAAAATAAACTACGAATCAACGTTGATTCAACAGTTCTGCGTTGAACTGGACAACGGAGAATCACGTGATTCAACGTTGCTTTGTTATCTGGGGTATAATTCACTCCCCCTTCCACGAAGTCCATATATGAAATGAACACTAAATAACATTTTTTTAATTCATTGTTTTTGTGAGCTCACAAAAAACAGCATATTTACGCAGTCTTCCTATTCACCCCGCAGTAGTTTAGCTCTGCCAGCTAGCGCTGTGTTTGAGGAGTGTTTCAGCCCAGACTGCTGTCTGAATCAGGCGTAATACAGAGTACCCAATCAGAACAGAGGTAATTTACATATATCAGTGAGTAACTAAAACAGCCTGATTAAGAAATGAAGAGAGATTGGAAATTAGATATGTAAAAATTAATAAGGACTGTTTTTGAGACAAAAAAAACACACAAACACTATAAATGTACCCCAGGAGAAAAAATAAAATAAACAGGAAAAAAAGACAACAACAGGGAAACAAATGTAGGATATGGGCCCATGTAGACACTTTAGGACATTAGTAATATTTTATTGCATTATAACAACAATTATAAGGTCAGTTCTGTCAGACCTGTTAAAAATTTTAAAGGGGAAATCAGGTTTTCAAAATTTTTGTGTAATTCAGTGATTGAGATGTAAAGAAAGTAATTCGGAGTGGTTTGATGTGAGAGCACTGTAGAGAAACTTACCAACACAGATTTCTTTTCAATGCTGGTGACAGGAACTAGAGTTTGCATAGCTATTTTACCTACTATCCAAAATGACCATTTCACATCAAACCCATCTTAACAATTTAATTATGCAGATTAAAAAAATCAACGTAGTTCCTCTTTAAATATCCAGTATTGTTCTGTCCTTTTCATGTCACAAGACAGGGTGTGATGTTATGTTATTGTTTCCCAGTGCTGGCACTCAAGTTCCTGTAGACTGAAACTTTTTAAAGTTTTATTTCCTCTATCAAACTGTTTAAGAGCCTGTAGTGTGCTGAAAATAAGCTGAGTAGGCTGCTTTGGAATATGAATGGGAAACTTTATGCTGTTATATATTTTGGACACATTGAGGTTTTGCTATAGTTCTTCTTATTTGTATTACTATTATAATTATGATCGTGGTTGTAGTGATTGTTGTTGATGTTGCTCCCAGAGTGTATGATGCTATTACTGCACTGTGCTAAATACTTTGTATTATAACTATTCATATGCTGCGGTAGCTTTTATTACCAGAGGGGGGAGCAAAATCCCCCAAAAAACGGAAAACACTGGTAAGAGGCAAGTGGTGTGCAAATCCATATCTATAGTTCCATCATGCTTACAGAGATCCAAAAAATCAAATGCCAGAGAAGATCCAGTGAATTGTGCTATAACACTAAAGTCAAGTCACGTCAAAATTTATTTATATAGCACTTTTTACAAAAGGCGGTGTTGCAAAGCAGCTTCACAGAAAAACCCGGGTCTGAGCCCCCATGAGCATTGCCAGTGGCGACAGTGGCAAGGAAAAAAGAATTGGCTCTAATTAAATAGTTCGAGTCAGCAACAGCAGCAGTATCAGGAGGGTCAGTTCATGCAGGTGAGGTTTGCACAGCATTGTACAGCAGGAAGCCCCATGGTGGTCAAAGTGAAGACAACAATTCCTCACTTGCCCTTATTTTCCATTTCAGTACGAGTGTCAGTCCACACACGCTGTTTCTCTGGAATGTCTGTTTATTTGCTTTCTTTCAGGCTGGCAATAGCTTTTTTTAACATTTGGACCAAGATAAAGTAAACACATGGATCCTGCAGGCCACACCACACCCGTGCAGTACAATCCACAGCTCTCAGAAGTGTTTTTTACACCAAGGGGTCGCAGGGTGACTTATTTGTTTAAAGAATTTTCCCATGGTAAACCCACAGAGCACAAAGGCTTCGTGGTGGCCTTTCAAAACCACAGGGTAGGCAGGCTGACTGAAGCGGCCTTAGCCCCTCTTTTGAAAATGAAATTTATAGCACCTCATAAAGCTTATTCATGCTCATAATCCCTACATGTAACCCAGAATAAATCAGAGTGGTGTCCCCAACACTGTAAACTCAGAGCGAGACAATTTCAAACACTGACTCTCATGCCGGCCACAGGGCACCCCGCTAAAGGAAAAGCTTTGAATTTCAACTTCAGCAAATTTCCTTAATGCGCATTAACCATCAAACCCACTGTTACTTTTTAGAAAACCCATTTAATCCCACCAGTCACAACTGTGTCCTAAATTTGTTTGTAAAGCTCTAACAGAGTTGTTAATTTGTTATCTACTAAACAGTAAAAAATAGTGCAGGTCGTGTCACATGACCAGAGCTGTTTACTTCAAGCATGGACCTGAAAACAATGAAGTCTCCACAAGAGCATAAGTAAGTCAGTAAAACATGTTAGAATACAGCTACAACTACATTATTTGGTTTTGATATTTATTATATTATTGATATTTTAACAAGATTGTATTGACATTAATATTATGCTCACAGGAGATGTAAACTTATGAACAGTCGCAGTTGTGGCTGTTGGACAACACAGTGGCTCACATTGCTGTTGTGGATTGTATCAATAGTTTTCTTTCAAATAGCTTAAATTTGTCTAATTTTTGGACATCATAGAACATGGTGACCCAGTGGAGACTAGATGCAGCATTTCCATTATGATGTCAGTAGCCTATGATCTGTTTTTGTTACATTGTTCACTGTATATAATTTTAGTTATTTTTCTAGTTTTTATTTCTTGTGTAATTTGGTCTAATTGATCAACTTCACTCTCTAGTTTCCATACAGCTGTGACTAAGAATAAACCTTTACACTAACATTTGCAAAACATTTTCTAAAAAGATAAGTAGTTTGTGGGGCTGTGTAATGATTACAATTCATGTACCCACATAGCTGGGGAAAGTTTGGGATTAAATAGGTTAAGTAAGAACAAAAATATATGGATCATTCTACAAGATTGGTTTAAAAGTCAGAGTTGAAAACACACTTCAGACTTTTAACTGACTTGGACTTTGGACTAAAATTACTTGAATGACCCTACACCTTACATACATATATATATATATATATTTTTTATTAAATGATTGAATAGTCCATTTTGTCCCTAGCAAAATAATCCTAATACTAACAAAACTGTATTTAATGTTTTTGTTGTGACTCTTTCGGCAGGTACAATTTTTGCTAGTTTTGAGAAGAACTCAAAAACTCCAGCCAGTACATGACTAGCAAACAGCTTTGAACAGATATACACACGTAAAGCCATAATATTTTTCATTGAAAAAACTAATATATATATATATGAATTTAAAACAAGCTTGGTTTCCGTAAATGGACTGCATGGACTGGGGAGTGAATGGCAACTTTGAAAACACTCTAAACATACATCATCAAACACATTTATTTCAAAAACATTAGGGTAATTCAGTTTTCCATCATATAGGCCCTCTAAGCTACTGCAAACCGAGAAAACATGCTCATTTGTGTTTAAAAACAATTTGAAAAGCTAGATGTCAGCAACCTTTTGAGTCAGGCGGCAAATGCACATTACATAATTTCAGGTACTCATATAGGCTCTCCTATGGATTGCAATAGAAAGATCTAAAGAATGACCACAACTATTCTGTGTTTATGATCATTGCTCTCCTGAGTACAGGGAGGCAGGCAGTGTGGTGTTTTGTTGTGCTTAAGAAGGGAGAAGAGCTGTACTTTCCCAGACGAGGACGCACACCACGGGCATATTTAGAGCCACTGAGAAACACTGATTAAAGAGGAAGACAATGGGGAGAGATTGCTAAGGAGTGGTGGCATTCCGATTTTCAGCGCTCTGCTGCTTATGGGTATAAGAATGTTCCGTGAAACGTTTGAATTATCCCAGAATCTCTGGAATTTGTTTTGTGGCACCAGCGCAGACCCTCTCTCATTGATCATAAGATTTGAGACAGAGTCTCACTTGACTGTCTTTGTTGTGTGTATGCGTTTGCGTGTGTGCATGCATGCGTCTGTGTGTGTGCGCGTCTCATGAAATCCACCGCAGAGAGTCTAGAGGATTGGACAATGTGTGGGGGGGTGGGGGGCAGGGGGTAGATGATATGATCACATCTCTTTGAGCTTAATAGAACAGGCGCCCCTCTTTGGCCTGAAGACGCCACTCTCCTCTGTGGTCGTGGGTAAGAAAGGGAAATCTCCTCTCTCTGTAATTACCACTTAATGTGCCTGTTCCTTCTGGAGACATTGACTCTTTTTTTCTGCGGGTCCTTCTTTCTTTCTAAGGTTTGACGGCTGCCAGAAATAAACACGTCAGGCTTTTTATTATTGCATATATAGAAGCGGAGGGAGAATAATAAATGCTGTCCTTGTGACCACACGCTTCCGGCAGCGCTGGATTAGCTTTGAGCATGGCTTTGCTGTCTAGAGCTGAAGTGGAACTCGCTGGCTCCTCTTCATTCATCAGTCTGTCCACAACAGCCCACAGTCACTGCTTGAGACTTAAGAACGTGTCCAGCACCCACCAGAGACAATAAACAGCATGCTTACAGTACCAGTCAAAAGTTTAGACACACTTACTCATAGAGAGAATCTCTTTACTTCTTTTTTTACTATTTTACACATTTTTTGTTTTGTCATGTCTTGTGTAGAACCCCATTGTGTACAGTCTGCAAAAGTTTTTTGATGCACAGTTACT